ACGCAACAACAATCCTATTAAGTCTAATAGAATCTTAAATAAATTTTAATTAATTTTTATTAAACCTAATAAAATTTTATCCAATCCAAAATAAATTTAAAAAAAGTTACAAAAGACATACAAAAAATTCTTAAATTAATCTCAAAAAAAATAATAAAGAAATCTAAAAGAAATATAAAAATAAATCTTTAAATAAATAATAATAATATCAAAGAAATATTAAAAATATGAAATTTTAAAGAAAAAATTAAAAAAATACTTTAAAAATAATAAAATAAAAATATTAAATAAATCTTAATCAAATCTTACATCAAATCTTAATTAAAATTTTAATTGAAATTCTAATGAATTTTAATCAAATCCTAGGTCAAATCCTAATAAAATCCTAAATCTTAAACTAATTCTAATAAATCCTAATAAAATCTTAATTAAATCGTAATCAAGTCCTTGACCAACCTTAAATAAATCCTAATAAAATCTTAGTCAAACTTTAATAAAATTTTAGATAAATTTTAATTAAATTCAATAAAATCCTAAATCCTAATCAAATCCTAATAAAATACTAGATCCTAAATCTCAAATTATCTGAGATTATAATCCACAAAAATCCTCATATACTTTAATCTAACTACTTGATTGACCTCAAATTTTTCACACACATTTATAACGAGGACAAAAAAAAACTTCTCAATTTTTGCCTATAAATATGCTACAAAATTCATAAAATCTTAAAATTTATAAATTTATTTTTATTTCTTAAAATCTAAATCTACTAAGTATATTATTAACTTTGAAAATCCTCCAAAATATCAATATTAATCCAAACAACATGAAACTAGCATTCAAAAATCTCTCTTTAAGTTTACTTTTAAATTCCACTCTTTGATTTGCAAAGAATCATGTCACTGTTAGTACATGGTTTTGTACTTTAGGATCTGATTTTGACCTAGATTAACAATCAATCCTCTCTAAGCATCAATTTTTGATAATTTGACATGAATTTTACTTTAATCTATTATTGATTCTTTCTTAAACATGCTTATATTAATTTTTGATCTCATTTACATTGATTTGGCTCATTTATGCCTCTATAAAATAAATATAAATTCCTATTATAAAAGGCAATATTAAGACTAAATTTTTTACTACCTTTTTATAATTTATCATTATTTTTCTACTAAATCTTTCTACTAGACTCTTCTACAATAACATCCATATTTTTATTTTTTTATCATATACTCATGTTACCACATGATAATGTGATGCTTCTTATAAAGATAGGAATTTGATCTTTTCTATTATTTTTTGATCACTTTGTTCAAATATTTTTGTAATGAATTCTAAGAATGAATTCAAATCATAAGAGAATCATGAAAATATTTTTGTCATGAATCCTTTTCCATCAAAGGTAAAAATCAAAAGAAAAAACTTCCAATGAAAGGTGCACCTATGAATCAAACTTGAGTAAATCCATCAAAATATTAGAAAGGATGTAATTTTAGATAGAGCTTGAATTTTTTTAGGAATCCTTGAAACTTTAAACTTCTTCCATCAAACTTCTTTGGCATACTTATCCTTGCCTCTTTCATATTTATAATAGCAAGACTTCTACAGATTCATTTGTAAACTTGATCTACTTGCTTCTCTTGTTACACAACTTTTTTATATAAAGTCTGAATCTCATTGTTGATTTCTTCCATAGGTATCGGAATAGTACTTCTATAGTTCATGTTAGAAATACGTGAGATTTCAACTTTAAAAGTCTTGATAAACTTATAAAGATCTATAATAATTGCAAATCTACTCTTACTCCTATTTACAGTAGAATCTATAAATTTTTCTTCTATAGAAAATTCAAATAAATTCATAAGTCAAATTAGAAGAAAATAATTTATAATTTCTAATATTAAATAAAAATTTCTATAAATAAAAATAATCTACTATTTTAAAAAAACTTAGTATTAAAAAATTAAGCTCTTAATTTAAAGATGGATACTCAATAATCTTCAAAATACAATAATAGAAGTAGAATAATCCTCTGACTTTTAAAAACATAACAAGAAGAATGTGTTATCACTCTCATCAAACTATCAAGGACATGAATCTCAAAAAAATAAAAAAAACTCAATACTTTCTTGTGTCATTCAAAAAAAATAGATATTTACTAAAAATTAATATAGTATTGAAACTAGAATGGCTATTGCCAAAAATCAAGGGACTAGAAAGGTATTGATAAGAAGGCTTTACTCTTGCCTCTATAAATACTATCTAATTAGAAGCTATATGGCTACGTTCTATAAGACCTTTAATATATGTTCAACTTGCAAGACATGTATCTTAATTTGTAAGGCAAGTTTTCTATATATACACCATATAGTTAGCTTGTACCACAAGCTATCAACATGTGCAACACATGGCTGATTTGTTGGCCAATTTTCTAATCTATCAATCAACTTCTAACATATGTAAAATCAAAGCCATGTCTATGAAGCTTCTAGGAAGTTTTTCTACAAGAATATTGTCAAATTTATTTACTTTAATCTATTCCTACCTATTTATATTATCTATGTAACTATTAGAATTAATATGTATGTTTGTAACAATAAGATATTAAGTTTTATGTTTGAAGCAAAAAGATGGTGTGAAAAGTAACAAAATAATTAAAATTATGTATAATATTAGAAACAATACACAAAATTTAACTTCAAATATGTTTTAAGTAAAAGAACCATACTCTTATTAAGTAAATATTATAAGTTGTATATGAAAATTTTCTTTTAGTAAATTGTATAAATTGTGGTTCTACATATTTTTTTATTTTTTAAAATACTATGTTTTATGTAAAAAGCATCATTAAAAATAAATTACAAAATTGAAGGCTATTCTTAAGAATATGCTTAATTAGAATTATCTATAAATCTGAATATATGTGCTTAAAAAAAGTTTTAAAAAAATTAAAATTTTAAGAATAAAAGAAGAATATACAATAAAAATATTCTAATTGTTAAAAATTCCTAAAATATTGAAAAGTCATAAAAAAAATTATTTTTTTAATTATATAGAAAATAAGAAATAAATAATAGTTTTATAATTTTAGTAGATTAAAGAAAAGTAATTTCTATATATGTATTTATATATAACATTCTATAAAAAATCCTTGATAAAATAAAATTAATGGGATGAAGAAACTTAGTAAAGATAAATTTAATCTATAGACATTAACAAAAAAAAAAGATAGAAGAATATTTTTTGTAAAAATTATAAAACTTATAAGTTTGTATATAATTTTAGAAAATTTTAGAATTTTTAAAGTTGATATTATTGTAGACCAATTTTTTGTATTTAAATATGTAAAAAACAGATTTTTTTAAATTATATTTTTTTATATGTTAGAAAAAATATATAATATAGAAGAAGAAGTTAAATAAAATCATTTCATTGATGTTATTTACAAAGTATTAGTATTTAAAGGAATTATAATAATTAGAAGGCCTTATCATAGATGTAAATAGAAAAAACACAAAGATGAAAAATTATGAAATATTACACTAGAAAAATAATTAGATATAGAGATAATAGTTGAATTATAGAAGCATCTTAAAAACTTTTAAAAGAATATGGAGTATCATATAAATTTTTAAAAACTTTAGATTTTTTTTAAAATAATACAAATGTACATGAGATTCTTAAAGGCTCTAGAAAAAAATTGAAAATTACTTAAGACTATAGTTTATTGCATGTTTGAAACATTGAATCTTCTTTTGGCTACAAGTTATATAATAAAATTACAAAATCTAATTGATTTGCACCTCAAAGAATTAAGGGTTTATTTTTTTAATAATTCATATGACATATGTTATCTTTTGATTTTATAATATAGATAAATGGGTGTATTTATCCAAAAATTAAATTTTTATAATGATTTGATGTTAATAAATTTATTTTAAAAAATTTATTGTACCTTTAGATTTTAAAATATCCTTAATAAGTGATTTCTTAAGTATAAAATTTAATACTACATACTTATTAAAATTCAATTAAAGCTTGTATATTATTCTTTAGATTTTAATGCAAAAATTGCTGATAAAAAGGTTGTTCTTCACATTCAGAAGATTTATTTTAAAATAGAATTTATGCTTACTAAAATGTAGGATTTGTAAAAAAAAATATTAATAAATTATTTTTAATAATATTTTTATAAATTATAAGGTCTTAAAATGCTATAAAATTTTTCAAATTTCATATGTTGACATGTTAAAGACAAGATCAAAAGTCCTTAACTTATACAAAATATTAAAAAATTATCAATATACTATGGTTTTTTATTTTAATAAATCAGAATTTTTTAACAAAATAATATTTTTGAGTAATAAAATTTAAATTAAGAAATTTTATTTTTTTCTTTTATTATTATAATTGCATTTATTTTAATTAAAAAAAAATTTATAAAACTATTAAACTTTTTTTGATACATTGGTTAGGTTGGACAATAACTCATATATTTATTTGTTCATAAAGTAATTGTTGCATATTAAAACAACACAAAACCTATAATTTTATGAAGAAGTAAACATCAAAATAAAAATCATTTAAATACTATATCTATAATAGTTGAAATTTTCTAATTATTTTAACAAATTTTGAATTCTTTGATTTCTTTCAAATGTCTTCTTTTATTGTTGTAGTATCTAAATTTAACTATATTTTTATTACTTAATATGGATTGTGTTGGCTTTAAGACAACATTTATTTATTGAACTAATATTGCAACTCTTGTTAATTATGACCAAAGCTCTAACAAAATTTTATTTTCTCAAAGAAACCCATGCATTCTTTTACCAGAATAACGTGTTATTAACTATAATACTCAACCGTCTACTAAGCATCTTAAAATCACACGAGGAGAATAGAAGCAAGTAAATTTGACGAATTTCCAAATTTGGAGCTTACAAACAAATGTTTCTTTATGTTACATATCTGCAAAACAGATTCAAACCAGATTGAGAAGTAATATAAAATATTTAGATTAGGAAAAAAAGAAGTTTAAATCAAATCAAAGATTCATGTGCACTTCTAGTTTAATGGCTGATAAGAATCTTTTTAACCTCTAAAACCATACTTGCTTTGTGTTGTGTTCTAAATAGCCGATAAAACTATGAGAAGATTCTCATGTTCGACACACACAACACATAAATATTAAGACAGATTAAAATCCAAAGACTAACAACAGAACACAGTAAACGAATTGCAATGAACAGAAGCCTCACGACGGTGCTTATCCCAATGGAGAAGTGACAGAAAGCATGCTTGTCAAAAGAAAACACTCACCTGACAAAACGCCATAATACAGCAAGTGAACCGTTTGTTGGGACGCCACTTCAGTGCAGAAGATGGGTTGCCTAAACGAAGAGGAATGAAGAATTCAAGGATGCCTATTTCCGCTGCTTTTTGACAGGTTTCTCAGATGCATCACCCTGAAACCTTTTCCTGGAATTCTCTCCGGAACTCTCTTGAGCTTCTTTAACATCCCTGGTGTGCCTTTTCCACGACCGACCTTGCCCAGATATCAAATTCTCAAACCGTGGTCTTTTCCTTCGTCTATTGTCAAGATAAGAGGGATGTGCTATATCACTATCAGAGTTACTTGAGGTCTCAAATTCATTGTGCTCTCGTGACCTTTTACTATTTTCTTCCTTTTGTCTAATTTTTCTTGTCCATTTTTTCCCTGTGGGTGGTAATGAAGGATCATGGCGAGCTTTCTTCGACCGCTCCTCGAACATTTCCAATTCAATTGTACTCATGGACAAGTCGCTGTCCGACTGTTCATTCACTGAACTACCTGAATGCTTGGCACCCTCCTCCTCCCGCAATCGTTTCCAATCTTCTGAGACACCCACTCTCAAATCCTCAGAAGCAGCTGGCCGCCTTCTTGTATTATCTATCTTCAGCCTCTTCCAAGTACTCGTAAGACTTGATCCTACTCCTTGCTCAACACCCCCAGATGGTCTCTCCGCTATTGCAACATGAATGCAAGATCTTTTCTCTGGTTGCCTTGGTGGTGATGCATCTCTCCTACTGGCTACTCTCCGCTTTTTGTCTCTGCTGTTCAAAGATGTCTGTTCCAAGCTAGATACCATGCCGGCATTATCATTATCCAAAACAGTACTATCCTCTTCCTGCTCAGTAATCAACTTCTTATCGTCTGCCAAATGAACTGTTTGCAAGACCTTTCGAACTACTTCATGTTCGCTCACAAGCTTCTGTTCTCCCACTTTGGATTCCTCAGCGGCGTGACTTGGTCCTGTTTCACTCTGAGAAGAATTCCTTTTGTCACCTGAGTTGTCATCTCCTCTAAAACTCCTCTCTGAGAAAGATTTCTTATGTTCAAAGCCTTCTGGCTCCCTCGACTCCCTTAGGGTAAACTGGCATTTCTGTGCATTACCTGTTCCCAATTGCTTGCTACTAGATCCTTGCATAATTCGCTTCAAACGCTTGGACTTTCTTGTTTCAGAATTCTGCACAAGCTTTTCCTCTTCGCCGTCTTCCTTCTCTGTTGAGCCAATGCAAGTGACGTTCCGTGATGGTCTATCTCTGGATGAGGCTTCCCTGCATATGCTCGTATCCTGAGCACCTTTTGCATCTGTTTCTGTCACCTCTCTCCGAGCTTTCTTTCTAGAAGAATCACGGATTGATGAAGGTCGGAGTTTCACCTCAGCTCTTGTTGAATTTACGTCATTTTCCATCAACCAGCGCCGTTTTTTGGATTCCTCCAACATCTCTGCGGCATCACTACGTGCCATGTTTTGCAATCCTACATTGCCTCTGAGAACTACTGAAGATGATCACTGTAAAAGCCAGGGATGCAAACCTCGCTGTCGAAAGTGAACACACGTGAATAATCAACGATTACTGGGAGATTGGAACTGCCAAGGATACATACTCAAGTGTTTCAGTGGATAATGGAAAAGTACAGCGGAAAAATATGACGCAGATCAAAGAGCCAACATAACTGAAATTTGAATTGCAATCTAGCATCGAACAGAACGTCACCACAGCACCAGGCATCACTCACTTCACCGAAATTGCTTCACAATTTTCAATATTTGGAGAAACAAGTTCCACACATATCAAGGATTCTATCCAACGAAATATCTCAGCCTGTCCAGAGCAGCAGATCCTAAAATACATCGCATGTAACTTTTTGACGACAATCTGCGGAATAACCTATTTAATAAAAATAGAATTGCACGCTCAGAGGGTATGCGAGACAAAGGGATACCATCTGTAGTGAGCATCATCGCCTATTCATCCATTTACCACTAATCAAAGGTATCAAACAAAAAAACCCAAGACAGAGTCTTCTCTCTACGAGACCACACTGCGCATCACGGCTCCAAACTCCAAACTCCAAACTTAAGGCAACAGTGAAACATAAAACAGAGGATTCCCTGACCCGTCGTCCTAAAGACCTTACAACACATCGCCATCAGTATCGGCACATCCGTCGAACTTCCTACTCAAGAAACCCACCTTCCTTCGCTCCTCAAAAACCGCTTAACGAACAATAACGCTACCGCAAAGCGCAAGCAATGAATTACCTTGCGACACACCCTTTCAGAACTCTGACAGTGGCAAATTGAGCGAACAGCGCCCGCCGTCCCACAGACACGTCGCCCCTCCGACAAGATGCAGCGCCTGATCGAAGCCGTAAAACCCAGACATCGACTTCATCCAATTACCCAATTCTTTGACGCCCGACACCTTCCAATCACGAGCTATCAGTGCTTGAAGCACACAGAGTGTACTTTGTCAGACTTCTCGCGTCGCGTGAATGCAAAGCACCGCCAACCAAACAACGCTACAAATTTCCCCACACGAATTCCAACCCCATTGATAGACACGTGGTTATGAGAAGAGGGTGTTGGCCAATAAGAGATGCCGTTTCTTCGACCAGAGCAGCAAATTCTTCTGCCAGGTGGGAATAATTCAGACCTGGTCCTTGCCACGCAAAAACTTGGGTGTCACGTCACCGCGACGCGTGGGTTTCGTCGCCTAGCCAGGCTTGAGAAGGCGAGAGCTTCATGGCGTGGTCGGTGTTTTATTTCCAGAAGTTGGATTTCTATTTATTCTAGTTTCTCTGTGAGAGGGTGGGTTATTCTATGCATGTGATTGCTGGAAGGATTTGGTCACTGCTTCGCACCAAGGCTGCGTACAAAGTCCAATACGTGCCTTTATAGTACTGGTTTTTTCGATTGCTATGTGTGTGTTAGTGGTAATTTCAGGTTGTTGAGGTTTTGAGGAAGTGAGGGTAGTTTGTGAGGTCCGGGTGTCGCGTAGAATTTTGTGTATAGAGGAGTTGGATTTGGAGTTGGTTGTGTTAATAGTGAGTGGCAGCTTTGGTGTTGTTCTTGGGTAGTCGTGGGAGGTGAGAAGCGTCTTTCTTCGTGGCTGTTAAAACGTAATCGGGACTTGTAAGCAAGCGTCTGTGTCGAGATTTTTAGTGGCGGTGTTCAGCACAAGTGGTAAGCCCTTTACTCTACCTCCTTCGTTGATTATTCTACACTTTAGTGCGCTCCTTGGATTGTTCTTAAAGTGAAAGCAATCTTTGGAAGTCCTAACGCTTGCCGGCTACTAAAGCCGACATAGAGTCGAGATAGCGTTTCTTATCTGCTGCATCTTGATTCTCCAAATCGAGGACAAACATGAAGCGATTTCAGAACATGCAAGTCTTGACTTCGACTTGACATCAATCCCAACAATCGTTGGGACGAAGATGGCTTCAGAGGTGGTAAACAGGACTGTTTGTGGCCGTGGTCAGTGAAGAGTTTTGTGTGTTGATATATTAGAAGCCTTTAGTGATAGCGATAGGCTTGGAGGTAATGTGGAGGTTCAATCGCCATAACACTGATTAACCTCTGGTGTGTATTATCTCTGGTGTGAAATTATTGAATGGCCGTTTGTACTGTACTTCTAGACTACGCACGAAGACGAACGGAAAAGAGTTTGATAGTTGAATATTATGATTTGGTGTAATCATGTGGAGTAAGCATAGGATTACGAACAGGTTTATTTTGGCAGTACACAGCAGGCTTCTTGGGGCAGATGCGAAGCATTTGTCGCACAAACAACAGAGTGGTCTGGACTACTGAAGGTGTTGATGGAATTTTCGTTGCAGTTAGAAGCAAAGACATTGACCTTCTCCAGTGCTGGATTATTGCAGATTAAGTATCTTGATTGAAAGCAACCATGGGTACTGCGCAAAGTCGCGAAGGCGAGTTGAGGGATACGGACTCCGACTCCGGCACAGAGTCTGGGACGGAATCTGAGACTTCGACCTCTCAATCAAGTGCCACCGATAGCTTCCATTCAACAAGCGGGGGAGCATCCACGGGGACAGTTTTAGGGACTCCATCGAAATTTAAGAGTGAAGGCGCCACTTCCAAAGCCAAGCCTGATGCTCTGGTTTCCAAACTTGGTGGTCTTTCCTTGAATAACATGCAGCAGACGATGAACAGAGTGAAATTATACCAACATGTGGGTGGTACCACTCCTGCTGCAAAGTGGGTGCCAGTAGAGAAACAGATTGGCTATGAGTTTGTACGGGAGGATGAGGAGGATGACGATGGCGAATGGAAGCTCAACACAAAGAATTTCAGGAGTTGGTTACTCTTAGTTGGGGGGAAATTTGGTGCTCCTGTTGACGACAACTTGCAGGCAAAATTCTTCGACGACCAACTGCGAGTGGACTTCATTTGGAAAGGTGTCTGGGCCATGAAGTTCATGAATTCAACTGATTACCATACCTTCGTCGAGAAGTACAATAATTGCTTGTTTGAAAATGTTCATGGACTTCCTCCTACGGAAGAAAACAAGATCAAAATTTTTGGAAAGGACTTCGTTGTGTGGGCAAGGGGGGAAGCGGAGGATGAATCCATATGGGCAGACGCGGAGAACAATTTTGAAGAGAAGCAGAAGGCACTTCGCGAGACCTTGCGTGAAAGGGCTATGACCGGAGTGCAGAGTCTAACAATGGGAGCCTTGGATAACAGTTTTCTGGTTGGTAATTCTGGAATTGAAGTTTTATCGAACCTTTCAGAAGGTGTACATAGTAGGGGCATCACACTTACCCTTGCAAACAATAAGAGTTCTTCGTACCAAACTCCGAAGAAAGGTATGCTCATTCGTGGTGAGCGGGATATGATGGTCTTAAGTCCACAGGAGCAGGGCGACCCTCATGCCAAAGGAGTGAGTCAGCTTGACCTGACCACAGGGAAAACTGTCGCAAATTGGCAGTTCGAGAAGGACGGCACTCCGATCTCTATGCTGGATGTGACAAATGATACAAAATCTTCACAGTTGGATTCTGCATCTTCGACATTCCTGGGTTTAGACACTAATCGTCTTGTTCGTTGGGACATGCGTGACCGACATGGTATTGTGCAAGAGGTTGCTAGTCCCGTTTTGAACTGGACCCAAGGTCACCAGTTCGCACGAGGCACAAATTTTCAGTGCTTCGCTACTACTGGTGATGGGAGTATTGTGGTGGGCTCAAAAGACGGGAAGGTAAGACTGTACAGCACTTCGTCAATGAGGCAAGCGAAAACCGCATTCCCAGGTTTGGGATCTCCCATCACCCACGTGGATGTGACTTACGATGGAAAATGGATACTTGCAACCACCGATACGTACATGATCCTCATTAGCACAGTGTTTAAGGACAAGAACGGCGAGATGAAGACTGGTTTTACTTCTCGAATGGGAGGGAATATTGCTGCTCCACGGCTCTTGAAGTTGAATCCTATTGATGCGCACAATGCAGGCAAGGGACACAAGTTTCACGGAGGCCAATTTTCCTGGGTGAGTCATTGTAAATCCGTCACTGTTTTGGGTACAGAAATTTTGTGATATTGCAGAGTGGTGTTGAATTCTGCTGCATTAAAACTATATTTCAAGTCATTTTCTATTGGTAGCGTGTCAAGTGTTTTGAGAGCAGCTGACTTTATCGTTGTGTAGAAAAATCGAATAACTTTGGACTAACTTTGGAATCATTTTGCCATATCAGGTGACGGAGAGCGGGCAGCTGGAGCGAAACTTGGTGGTCTCTGTAGGGAGTTACACGGTTATCTGGAATTTCAGGCGTGTTAAACAGAGTAATCATGAATGCTATAGACACGAGAAAGGTCTCAAGAGTTGCTACTGTTACAAAGTTGTGCCGAAAGAGGAATCAATTGTGGAGAGCAGGTTTATGCAGGAAGGACATGCAGGCCTTGGTAGAGCTCCTTTGGTTGTAGCTACGTCAAAAGATTTCAGTTCATTTAACATCAACGACATGGATAGTCAAGACAGTCAATGAGGTGGATCTGTGGCTTCAATAAATTGGAGTAGTGGCAGCGCGGATCATGGAAGGACTTCGCTGGCTCTCATCTAAGCCTCACTACTCTCGCAAACATCAGCGTTGTAGATAATAGCATGCTATACGAAAAAGTTTCTTAGAAGAACAAATAACATTTGTCGCTGTCATGGAACTTTATTCAGTCAGTGAATTCGTGGACTTGAAGTATATTGTAGTGTAGAATACAGAGCGGAAAAATAAAGAACATTCACAGATAGGAGTCAACCTCTGAGACCAGACGATTTTAAGTGTAACTGGCCCTCACAAGTCTTTGTAAAATTATCCTCCCTTGTAAACCTTCTTTCAAAATCTGAATTTTATCCGATTAGGTTGTTGTTTTGCATCCTCGCCTTGTTAAAGACGAGGATGACTCTATTCTATTATGCATGATCATTTTTGTAGATTTTATATGAAAAAAGAAAAAAAAAAAAAAAAAAAAAAAAAAAAAACTCTATTACGTTACAAGCATGATGATATGAACCCATTTTTGGACAAGGACGTCATCAGTGAGGCTCACACTGACCACCACAAAAATGAATTTTCAGAAGCGAGGTTTGACTCTGAAAACCTTCCAGAAGGTAACAGTAAATTTTAAAGCAACATGCCAAACTCAAAAATTGCCAAGTTTATCCTTACAAGAAGGTATCACAGGTCAAGAATGTTAGAGAAAAAGTTCAATAACTGTACAGGAATTTCCAAACAGAAATAAATTCTAATTTTATTTTTATCTGTACACCAAAATGATTGGTGATAGGTTAGTATTCTTTGGCAGTAATTGAAAAAGAAATATCTTTTCTCTTAGTAATCATACAAAAGGAGTTTCGATTCAAGATGGTAAAATGTTGCTAGAAAATTACAAGTGTGAGAGTTGAAACATCATGATAATAAATTTGATAAATAATATATTTAAAGTAAAAAATAAAAATTAAAAACAAATTAAAAATAAATAAATAAATAATGAACAAAGGTAATTATTTTGGTGAAAAGTTGTGTCTTTTCAATCAATGGATGCATCTATACTTTTAAACATATTATAATTTTTTATCTAATTTTTTAATGCATACATAATTTAAAGAGCAAAAGTTACATATTATTATGTAATATGTTAAATTGCAAAACCCTGTATAGCACAAATTTCATAAATTGAATTCAATTAGATTATATAAAGAAGAATCACAATGTTAGATTATTTGGTCTTTAGCCTAGATAGAAACTTAAATGGAAATAAAAGAATTAAAACATTAAAAAGAAATAAAAACATATACATATAACATTAAGAATATTTTGGATATATATATATATATATATATATATTAAAAATCATCAAATTATTATAGTTTTACAAGTTTATCAACTTTCAAATTAGAAATGAAGTAAATGGTTTTAAAAAATTGCAAAGATAAATAGCTTAATACAAAATTTACAAATAAAATAAAATAAATATGATTATGAACTTTAACATCTTCTACAAATTGTATCTTTCTAAAACCTTTATAATTTATAAAACACTTTGATGATATTCTTAAAAAAACTTTAAAGAATATAAAATAATATTTTTGCATTAAAATCATTGAAGAAAATTCTAAGAAGAGCTTCTTCCACTAGCTTTGTTCACATGTTATGTTAATACTATTTTGAGAAGCTTTATTAACAAGATAGGTAACAATCTTGTTAGATACCATCTCTAAAAAGATTATTTTTGTCACTAAACTAACAAGGCGCTTTTAGCTTCGACCAAATTTTTCTTATTTTATAAACAATTTAACTATAAATATATTATATTGAGACTATCTATAGTTTTATTAGTAAGAAAAATTAATTGTTTTTTTATCTAGTATTTATCCAATTCATTTATGTTTATACAATAATTATTAGAATAGCATTAGCCAAACAATTTAAATCTTATATATATATATATATATATATATATATATACACATACATATATGTTTATACTTTGTTAAGATAAAGTAGGTAAACTATATTCATATACAATTTTCTAGTATTTATAGAAAACTAACTAGCTTAAGCTTAAATTAAAGTTTTTTTCTTCATTAAGAATTTGATTGTAGATGCTGTTATTTTTCATATAATTCTTTTAACTAAGGTTATACAACTATTAAATAAAGAATCAAATATTTTTTTATTTTTTATTTTTTAAAAAAATCATACATATGTATACATTAAAAAAATCAATTGAAATTTTACCTAATTAGTGACAAAGTGGAATATTTATTTTTATCAAAAAAATTTAAATTTTATTCTATAATAAAATTTTAATAAATTTCTTTATTACTATATATATATATTTATAAATTTATAATTTTATAATTATTAATATTTGATAATATTTTTAATTAAATATTTTATCCTAAGAAATAAAATTAAAATACATTTATTTAATCAAAAAAATCTTGTATTATACAAATTATTGAGTTTAATGAAACTAGAACTAATCTTAATAATTTTGCTATTCTTGTGTAGTCATTCTAAATTTTTAATCCTAAAAATATTTTTTAGTGTTTACATTTTTAATACTAAAAAACATACATTAAATCACAAAAAATATATATTCAAATAATGTTCTATATGTCGAAGATAATAAGATATTTATTGTGATATATTGATGTATAAAATAAATTCTTTATTCTTAACACAAGGAAAACACTCTTATTTATACAGAGTATTAATATTTAATAGTGCTATTACTTTATCAAATAAAATCTGTTATAATTTTACAATTGCAGCTAATAAAGCATATATTATTTTCTACATAATGCTACTAACATAGAAATATTAATATTTGAGCATATATATATTTTTATTAGTGACTAAATAAAAAATTGTAATATTTATGCATAATTGTGTTCCATGAAAATGCAACATGTATATTATCCTTACAGATGTTATCATTTAAAAGATAAATAATAATAGCTGTAATAATCCCATTTGATGTAATGTTTTGTTGTCTTTCTAAATAGATTACTGTTTTAAATATTTTACATATCATTTTGTGTTTTTTTTAAAATGTATATATCCACGTATAAAATAATTAAATTTAGATATATAAAAATTTATCTTATTATATTTTAATTGTTGCTTAAATATGTAAAGATTGCTAGTATAGTCAATATTATTGAAAAAGTTATTAAAAATATTACTAAAACATGTTCTTCCAAACATTTAGAGTTTTTAAAAAGTTTTTTTCTATTGATGTTTTTAGTTGTCATTACTAGTGATGCATAATTTCTTATTAGTTTTTTAAATTTTAGTTAATTTTTATTTTATTTATTAATTAATTTTCTTATTAAAAACAAGCACTAATTTAAGATTCTATTTTATATTTTTAGCCGAAAAATGACTGTCTATAAATAGTAATTAAAAAATATAATATGATAAATTATTTATAGATGAATTGGTTGCGTGCACAAAAATAAAAGAAAAAAAAACAATATGATAGAATTTTTTCTATACGATGTAATCATTGGTTAAATGTTTAAGTTTTTATTTATCTCATTATTTAGAGTAGCGCTATTTTTGGGGGATTTATTGTTATTTTATTTATAAAATAATCCCTAAAATCTGCAAGAAAAATTTAACATCAAATTTGAATTAACTTTTACAATTATAGTTACTTTATTTGCTTGATTGCATAATGATTGCATAAGAAATATGGGCGAAATAAAATAGCTAAAAAAGAAATTAGAGCACCACATTTATTTGTCTGTATATTTTTTATTATTAAAAAATATTACATTCTATTCAATTACAGGCCCACTTAAATTGACAAATTATTCATTTGCACTAATATTTGTTTAATTATAGACCACATCAATATCTCAGTGTATACATACATATATATATATATATATATATATACACACACACACACACAAAAGAAAAGTTTGTGAAGATTTTGAGAGAATAATACATGGGTGTTATATTCCCACTAGGCACCCAAAGGAAGACAACTTAGGAATCCATAATAAGGGAGCAGAAGCCGATGAGTTTCATCACTCGAATGAACGTGGTCCACATAACCACGAACACATGACGCATTGAGCTCATGACGCCCACTTTCATGTCGCGGCACCTGATTTCAAGACAAGATTTTAGGTGGAGCCCGTCATCGAACGGGCCATGGTGGAGCATGGAGCATCGGATGGCGGAGGGCCTGCCGGGTGGGAGGAGGCTGTGCCGCGTCAGCAGGGGGCGGGGTTGCCAAGTAGGGGAGAGCCAGCCAGGTAGGCAGCCTTCCGGACGTGGCGGGAGGGATGGCGGGAGGGAGCCGTGGCTTGCTTGCTTGTCTTGTCTTCGCTTTGACTCGAGGCGAGTAGGCAGTCAGTCTCACAGCCAGCGCACACGCTCATACCCTCCTATACCCGATCACCGTGTAGCGCCTCCCCACCATCGCCGTTTGAATGCTGTGTAGTTTTTTCTTGTTTCGTTTTTTGTTGCAATGCTTGTATTGCAGATTCTCGCAGCACCCAGAGACTAGTGGGAGCCAGGAGTTGTGAGGAACTCAAGTTGTTGAGTTTCTCTCGTTTTTCCGAGCCGGAGTTTTAGTGTATACATATACATATGTGCATATATATATATATATATATATATATATATTATTTTAGTGATGAGACGAGTTGGTGTTGTGTGCGTAGAAGGCCCGTGGCGTTGGAGAGAGAGAGAGGGACAAGGCGTTGTTCAGAATTCAGGTTGAATTGGTGTTGTTGATCGTAGGGCGGGGAGATCGTTGTTGATATCTCTGGTTGTACGGTGTGTGTGTGTGTGTGTGTGTGTGTGTGTTGTTGAATGAGAGCTCGTGCATGGATTTCGAGCGTTTTTCGATTACGAGGGAAGCGGTCGCAGATCTGAGTTTGGAGTGTGACGTTCGATGAGCTTTGTTGTTGGTGGTGGGCGAGTTATGATTTCGGTGGCAGAGGAAATGTAGCTGTTTCGACGTTCTGTTGGGACATTGGATCCATGCTGGTAAGGTGCTAGGTTCCTTTGATGTGGTTGCAACGCTTGGAATGTCACATCGCTTAGAGTGAGGCGCAGATCCGTGTTTTGGACTTCCGAGCTATTTTTATTTTCACATTTCAAATGGCTACGTGTTACTGCGATCACGGATCTCATATTTCGGGGTACTTTTGAAGCGAGGAACATGGTGGCAGTCACTGTGATTTTTGGATTAAGGTAGTAAAGAAGTGCGCAGGCAGAATGTCTGGTAGCAGAACTGTTATTGCAGTAGCTGCGATTAAACCGTGGCTATTCAAGGGAAGTAGAAGCTATCTTGGTAGCGGCACTGTAAGTTGATGTTTCGACTCTGAGATTCGGCGGCTTACCATTGACCAAGTGACCACAGACTGCGAAGTGTCTCACTTCTCAAAATTTCCTATCGCAGGGATGTACGACTTCGTGATATCACTCCTGTGCGATGTGAATGCCTCGAATGGATGAGGTGCAGCAACATCGCTTTGAAATGCAGAGGCTTCTCGAATGCCTGTACCGTTTTCCGAGCATTTGGATGCATTTATATTGGAACTCAGTTTACACGAGAGTGCAATTTGGGACTGGCGCATACGAATCGGACAAAGGAATTCAACCGTATGATTGACTCTCATTAACGCAATCTTGTGGGGAGGAATAGAAGCAAACAGTAGCATTCATTTGGATCCCGTGTCACTTAAAGGAAAAGCATAGAGGAGTTTCTTGTATCGGTGGTCGGGGAAAATCTATGGAAGTATACAGTAGGTACCCAGATCGTAAACCTAGTGTTATTAGGATGCAGGTGTACAGCAGGGGCTAAGAGCGTGATTTGCGCTATGTCTTCAAAGCCCCGCCTGGGATGAGAAATTTAGTATCAAAGGTGGGCGTTGGCAACTAGCGATTCTTGCATTGTGAGCTTGAAAGCATGACAAAATTTCCAACTTTGTAAAGCATCTGAAAGGATTGAGGGTCGATTGCTTTGAGGTGCACTCAAGGTGTGTGAAGCGAAGGAGTTTCAATGGCTCTAACCTTTATTGATTCTACCAAACTTAGTGGGAGAGATTATTTCTCAGACAGCGGCAGAGATTATGAAGACCTTTCAAGCCTTTCCATCCTTTCCTCGAGAATGGTAATTCTACGATCAATCTTTTTCATCTCGGTTCATGATATCTCTCTCTTCCTTTCAGTTGTTAAACCTTCAATGTAATCACTTGTAGGAATATTGATCTCATAATTGAAGTGTGAAGTTTTAGGAGGATTTCTTACGGGTCAAAGACTTGTGGTAGTGCGTGCTGTTGATACGAACCACTTCTGACTTACCTCATTTTTTTGTTTTGTTTCTGCAAATAGTACTTTTTTGATTGCCTTTCATCTTCTTGGCTGCCTGTCCACTCTTTCATTTGTTAGCATGCTTCTTGACAGTACATCCTGTCGTTGTGCGAACCGCTCGATCGGTTCCTCCTGCTAACCTAGTGTCCTGAAGGCCCCTGCTAGCTCGTGTTCTCTTCTCTGGTTACGATTAGGGTTTACACAAAAGGATATATCATTAAAAGACATATTGTGTCACAAAGTGTGCTGCGTTATGAAGTTTCCCAATTTTAATTATTATTATAATTATTTTTTGTATTGCATTTCTCTGTGAGAAACTGGAAAAGTTACGTTTTGACTACCCCTCTACTGATGCAAGACCACTGACATACATCTTTTGGCTCAAGACAATCTTATTTCTGTTGAACGATGTGCAGGGTATGAGTGAAAATGGGTTAAACGGGCCGCATTTCAAGCGTGTGGTGCGCCGATCTTCCAGTCAGAGTTTGGATATAGATCCTTTGGTACGTATCTTATAAATTCTTTTGCTGTTAGATACTTTGGATGACACTGAAGTCTTCACGATCGATTTCATTTTCATAGTATATAATCTCGTTTTCAATGTTCATGCTGTATTTGACTTTGAAGGTGGGTGTTACAGCTGAGCGGTAATTTGGATAGCTATCCTCATTTGAAGGAACTGCTACAGAGCTATAAAGCAGAGTGGGTTAAAGATGACAACAAGTATGGGCGTTATGATGCTGTGCTGCCACCTGTATTTGAGTCACAAGTTTTCGAAAGTCCTGATACAGATGTAGAGACAGGCAAGTTAGCAAAATAGACTTCATTCTTTTAAAGTGTTAGCATGTCTAGGTTGATTTTTGTGTTTCAAGATGGGCAATTACCTGTAATTCTATCTTGTCCCCCACAAACGTTTTTTCTGATTTTCGTGAAAAGAAGAAGGAAATCAGTATTGGTGCTTTTGTTCTGGCAGAGTTGCGCCTTGCAACAAGGGGCCGGTATGTTGACGAGGAAGAGGTTAGCACTTCGGGAAGGCTCTCATCAGAAAGCGACCCAGATGCTGTTTATGCTAAAAAGGTTTGTAGTCGATAGCTGGATTTCGACACCCCATTCGTTTTCATTTTTTCCAGTTCTGGAAGAGTACACCTAGCCATCGAGAAATGGAGTTGAAAGTCAGGTGCTTCGGTGTCTAAAATGAGCAGTTGAAAAGTTGATATTGATTCGTTCGTTCGTCCGTTATTATTATTATTATTATTATTATTATTTATTTTTATAAATTTTTTGAGCTGTATTCTTTAAGATCCGTGCCTTTCTCTTACATTGTTACGTTTCTGGTCTTTCTCACAATTGACATTTTGCCTCGCAGCACTATGGGGGGCCTCCATTACCTTGCTATTATCCTGTTTTCAATTGGCATGCAGAGAGATCTGCTATCTTTGGTCAAAGGACACCAGAGCTACCACCTTCACTCTCTACCAGGTCGACTCTTGTCAATAGCTGTTAGATCTAGTCTGATTTTGATTTGAACGCAATGGACTTGATCTATGTGCTCGTTTATGAGCTATGTATTTAACTCTTTTATGCACTCTATTCGATTGTTATGTTGCAGTGGATTGAAGATTTCCGTGAAGCTTGTTTCGCTCGCTATGCAAGCTGGACTTGTTGGTAGGTTCTGAACCCAGAGGAAACCTGCAAGCCATTGAGTATTGTGGTACCTATAGCATTACCTTGTGGGCTTACATCTTTCTTCAGACGGCTTTAAATCTCTGGAAGTGTGTGCAGAACCCGTGTATGGAACCATGTGTCTGTACAACAAGGAAAAACGTGAAAAGCTTTCAGAAGACTTTCACTTTCGATTCCTACCTTCAGAATTTCTGGATGTAAGAGCAGTCTTTTCTTTAATGTTTCGCAAAACTTGTTGATTACTTGGTCAACATTGTGGTCAAAGCGGAGATGTCATTCATTATTATTCTCGCAGCTTTGGAGTGTTTTCACTTTCTATGGAATATGGCAGGACAATTGTGGAGGTCAAAGGAGTGTTCTTTTCTCATTGGAAGCTGGTTCCCCAGCCATTTGTTTACTTATTCAATTTGAAAAACATGTGACTGAGGAAGGAGGAGTTTCTCCATCTGTGTATACCCGCAAAGAACCTGTGAGTAATAATTTCAGTTCACTTTTCATGGTTTCTAATACCTGTTTGTTTAGTATAAATTTCTGGCGTTTTTGGCTTTTAAAGGTAAGTTAGTTCCTACCTTTTTGTCGCTATGTGCTGAAATTTATTGAACAATGCATTACTTTTCGTGAAAGTTGACTCGATTGAATCTGATCACCTGCTCATACTACCACCACCACCACCACCATGGCTACACAGTATTGATTTCCAGCGATGAAGTCAGGTTTGCTTGCAAAGTTCTGATCTTGCATTGTGGATGCGCATCAGGCATATCTATCGGAACGGGAAAAGCAGAAGCTGCAAGTTTGGGCACGAGTGATGCCTTTCAGGGAGCCATTTGCTTGGGCTACAGTTTCGCTTTTTGACTCTAGTGTTACTGGAGGTGTCGGGGGTTTTACATCACCAAGCAGTCCATTACCTTCTAGTTTGTTGGGATCTGGACTAATGGAAGCAGCCGTAGACATTGACGGACAGTTAATTGCAAGTGCCGATTCAAAGCATCATGAGTCTAGGCATCATGAACCTGTCCTTGTCGATGTACCTGGACTGAATCGTGTGAAGGAGAACTACATGGAGGAGACTCTGCTGGTTTATACACTGCAATCCTCTTTGGGACTTGGTTGATGCTTTATAATTTTTTATAAATAGTTCATCAGCGGTGATTTTCCTCTTCAAATTGATGTAGTTCCGTGTGTCTTTATTTACTGTATGTCAGTCTTTATCTTCTGGATGTTCTTATACCTATGCGCATGCGTTGGCTCACAGGATCCGAAACGCCTAACGCACAAGCCGGTAAAGGCAACCCTGCGTCTTGAAGTGGAGAGGGTATCACAAGAAGACGTGGAACGAGGTTCTTTATCTGAATGTGGCAGTTTTAGCAATAGTTCAATAGATGGGGAGGGCAGAGAGTCGTCACTGCCCAGGCATTTACGACATGCTTCTTCCGGTTACTCGAGAGGAGCTTTAAGTGGACGTCTCAAGTTGAGTTCCATGGATAAGCGTCGACTTGCACATTCTGTCAGCGCAAACAGCTTCGACTTTCCTCGTCCTCAGGTACATATCAGAGCTCAAGCTATTATTTGCTTAAATGCAATGTCCTGTGCTCTCTTTGATTCCTCTGTACAGCTTGGCTTTGGTTGCTTTATTGCATGTTGACCTTCATTGAACCTCTTCGTTCAGGAACTAATCAGTGAGTGTTGTGGTGGTGGTATAACAGTTCAAAGCCATTGAATTTCGAACATCCAATAGAGGCGAGCCAATGTCACAGGTGTTGCATTGCTTGTATATTTACCCTCAAACAATTAATCTGAGCAAGAAGCGGAATTTATTTGTGCGAGTGGAGCTTCGTAAAGATGATTACGATATTCGGCAACCTCCATTGGAAGTGAGCTACTATCCGATATAATTCTTACCTGACAATCTGCAGCGTGTTGTAGACTACTGTTTGTTTATCATAGGAAGTTTTGGATAGGATTATTTCATATCACGATCAAACAACCCACTCCTAGCAGCTCATGTGTTCCGCTAAAATATTCTTGTAAGATACTTTATCAAATTTTCATAAATGATAGACAGTTCATGTAAACATGCAAATTATCGCAATGAAAATATGTTAATTTTTCGTTGTCTCAACTTCTTCTATCAAGGTCTCTAGTTGTAATTTTGGCACTTGGCATTTGACTTTCTTTTGCTTTCCTATAATACAGGCCCTATATCCAAGAGATTCAGACAGCAACATGCAAAAGTATGGCCATTCTCAAGTTGATGTAAATGTCAAAATTCCTCATTTTCATGATGAATTCAAGATTCGTCTTCCAGCTGTGATCACCCCACAGCATCACGTACTCTTCACATTCTTTCATGTGGATCTTCAGATGAAACTTGAGGCTCCAAAGCCAGTAAGTGATTGTTATGTTATATTCCATCTTCTCAGTAAGCGTATGCCTCTGATTGTTATGTTATGTGTGCTTCAGAGTTGGATAAAATTCTGTGAGCATGGTTGCAAAGATTTTGTAGTGATTATTTCACTGTTCTTCGGCGACTCTATGTCATTTCATTAAACCTTCGTTGTAGTGCGGATCTTTTTCTTCGAATTTTTTCCAGACATTATGACGCTTGTCGTGTTATTTTTTTCAGGTGGTTGTCGGATATTCTGTTCTTTCTTTATTTATTGGTGTTCAGTAAGTCTTGCTTGTTGCTTTTTATTCTTGTGTCTTACATCTGGTTTGCGTCTTTCTTTAGGAAAGACGTGTTCTTAGGAAGTTTTAGTCGACAGCTATGTCATTTGCATTCCTTAATATCGTGAAATTTGTCGTACACATTGCTATGCGCTTTCTGATTGCGTGTGCTTCTTGATGAAAACGCTTGAAATTCTCTGCTAAATTTGAGGACGATCTGTGCAGGGTGCATCGATTAGATGGTACTTTACCTGTAGTGAAAGAGCTCCTCCCTCATTATTTGGATGAGAGTGTCAAGGTACTAAATTCTGTCTCTTTGGCTTTCCATTTTACTAGTAAACTGTGGATGATATCTTGTTACTTCCTGTCTAGCATCTCTTGGATGTTATGATCATTCTATACTAGCTGAAATGGTCTAAATCTAAGTTTTTCTTTACGTTTCAGGAGAAAATGGAGTTATTAGATGAAGGCAAAGCAGTTTTCAGGCTTCGATCTCGATTGTGCTCGTCTCTTTATCCTGTGAATGCGAAAATTCGAGAATTCTTTGCTGAATATGACAGATATATCTTACACACATCTCATCCTTTGGGGAATGAACTGTTGGAGGTATGCTTCATAGGTCACTGGAAGTTCAAATTTAAACCAAGTGGAAGCTTTACTTCTATGATTGGTGGAAGAAATAACTATTTTTACAGATCATGATCAATAGTTTTCTGTGTCTTGAAGGGTTCGTGTTTTGAACTCCTGACATTTAAAATGTCCTTGAAAATATCATAAAAAATGTCATTAATTTTTTTCTTTGTGGCTGAATATAATTGGTGAGAACGAGAAATCTTTTTGAACAGTATTCCCGCAGTTCACGTACTCTGCACTCGATCAGAGTTGAAGGGTTTGTTCAATCTTTGAATGGTGATGCTGCTCTTGGCACAGGCAATTGGTGGATTGAAGCTTGTCGACCCGTCAGACATGCTACAGTTTCTCCTGCCTACATTGAACATGTTACTGCGCATGATAGGTGACGGTGGGGAGACACTTCAGGTACCCCACTCAGTTCTTTCATTTCTCCTGGTTCTTTCACGTTTATGTCACCTAGGACACTTTTGGAAGTTGGGGCTGTCTGTTTCATGTTGCCTTCTTTTCATTCTGTAAAAGGAATTTTGATTTGAACTCATTTTCTCATACATTCTATTCATGGAATCATTAGGTTGCTGCTTTTCGGGCGATGGTGACCATCATCACAAGGTTAGAATTCGCTTTCAAGTTGTTAAGTATTTATTTGTAGATTTTCTAGTACCAAAGTTGACCGTGTGCTTCCGATGCCTAGTATTTTGGAACTCCTAGAAATCAATTTATCAGATTTTCAACGTTGTGTTTCTAGCAGGTTGCGACAGGAAAGTCCAGATGGAGGGGGAGATCGCAACAAGTACCTGGTTCAATATGTTGATTACTTCTTTGACGATTTTGGAGGTGTTTTGGAACCTGTCTACCCAGGGCTTTGCAGTGTCTGGCGCAGTCTTGCTCGCAGTAAGGTAATGCTGTAAGTTCTCAACCTCTGTTGCTTTGATAAACTATTTCGTTTCAGCTGTAATGTCGCATAAACGTAGTTTTTGGAACTGAATAGGCTTAAGAAGCGAGTAGGACACGTTCTTTGGGATGAGCCTTAACCGTCTCTCGATTAATGCAGGCCAAAGGTTACAGGGTAGGTCCCGTCTATGACGACGTACTATCAATGTCATGGTTTTTTCTTGAACTCATTGTGAAGTCTATGGCACTTGAGCAAGCTCGCAAGTTCTCTGAGAACCTTCCTCCTGGTATGGAATGTCTATAAGTGTTTGTGGCTTAACATACAATTAACTTTCAGATCATCTTATTGGAGAAGTATTTGTAGAGCTTGGTTTTTAAATTGTTGTTTTACAGAACTTTTGAGGCCATGAGCATTCTCTTCATGATTTGCTCCCGAAAACTGACTTTACCTTCCATGTAGGTGAGGATTTACCACCTCTGCAACTCAATGACGAGGTCTTGAAAAGCGTTGGTCAGCTCTATGACTGCTTGCTCACTGAGATTCACGACTGCTGTAAGAAGGGTCTACCACTCGTAAAACGACTAAACAATAGCATTGCATTTTTCTGCTACGATCTTCTCTCAGTCATTGAGCCCAGGCAGGTTTTTGAACTGGTATGTGGCTAATCACTTTCTCTCCTATGAAGAACTAGGCCGTTTACTGTGAAGTAAAGACTGTGTAGTATTAAATAAGGGAGTTATTTTCCTAGCGTTACTCTTCGCCAATTGTGTCTTTTGTTTCATTAAGTATATTGTAAGTAATGTTATTCACTTGTACGAGTTCTGTTCAAATATTTTTTTGGCTTTTGGCTATGTTCCTTTTCAGGTGGCGCTTTACTTTGATAAGTTCAGTGGTATCTGTCAATCTATGGTGCATGAGTGCAAGCTCAACTATCTTCGCATAATATCCGATCACGACCTCTTTGTAGAGATGCCTGGTCGGGAACCTTCAGAAAGGTACTGAACCTGTGCTGTTGGAAACTATCATTCTAATTGTGCAGCACCGATTTATATCAGAAGTTCAGGATAGTTGGAACAATTTCTTTCATGATCACGGGGTGAGCCGTCGGACTCACTTAGATATTACTCTGCAGGAATTACCTAGCAGCTGTTCTAATGCAGGAGCTCTTCATTACTTTCGAGCTTGAGGATGCCTCTTTGAAACTCAAGGTTCGCACACTTTTGGTTTGTTTTTCTATCGTCCACTTTTATTTCCTTAAGATATTCAGTCAATATGGTTAACAGTTTTCTCCGTCAGTTAGGTTGAAGTATTTGGCTAATTGTATACACAGGACGCTTTATCGGTGGGTCTTCATTTGTTTGAAATAGTATCAGGGTCAGGTTTCTATGTCTTTTAAGCATGGGAGCGTTTGCTCAATACATGAAATGACTTCCGTTACTTATTGACTGTAATTCTTGGCATTATTTGAGTCGCTCAGGCTGCTCGAACACTTGTTGTTCTAATGGCCAAGCATGAATATGATGCTCGATATCAAACCTTGGACGACAAAATGTACATTGCTCAACGCTATTTCCCCTTAATCCTTCACGTAAGTTCTTCATTTGCATTTTTATGACAGCGAGGAAGAGTATCGCATTTTCTTCCGCAGCAATTTCTACTAATTTGTTATATGTGCTCTTCCATTCTGTATCACCAAGATTCGATTCTAGAGTACTTAGCTATAATCTAATCGATTTTCATGAGCACCTAAGCCAATAGGTTGATCTATTGCAGTACCAATGCTAAGAATGCAGAAGTCTTAATCGCAGATTTTGGAGGAAATGCCTGTTTTTTACAACTTGAACTCTCCAGAGAAGCGCGAGATTCTGGTGTGTATGCTTCAATACCTTCATCACCTAGACGATACTACTTTGATCAAGGCGTGGCAACAAAGCGCAGCCCAAACAAGACTCTTTTTCAAGTTGCTTGAAGATAGCCAGAATTTGTTTGAGGTGTGGCTTTTAGTTGAATTGCTTGTAATTATGCTGTTTTCTTAGTTGTTAAGCAGGTATCATGTTTGAACTTTTGATTACGGATCTGTTCTTGACATTCGTCCCGTGGAATACTACCTCAAAGCCGTAATTACGATTTCTGATCAATTGTATGCTCAAGCCATCGCTTGATGTCTTGTTGTACAGTAACTGTGTTGGTATAAGCAATGCCATACACTTCAAGCATGAGTTATTATACAAAATGGTTTTGATAAGCAGTTTATTTTTTGGGGCTTTTTGTTTTTGTCCTGCAGTACAAGAAGGCTGGAGCTGATGGTTTAATGGGTGCCATGTCTAAATCTGACCAAGGTGATGGAGTCATCCGCTACACGGAAAAGTTGTCACCATCTGTTAACTTATTTTTGGCGGAAGCTTCTCGTCACGATGGTCGGGTATGCGTTGCTTATACATTGAGCAAAGTGGTAATATTATTTAAGTTGACGTTCGCAAGATTCACTTGAAAGGATCTAGTACATATACTGTGATTCCTAGAACCCGTTCTCAGATTTGCGTCCATAGAATCCCTTGATTTCTTTCGTAGATACATCGGAATTATTTTGTGTTGAATACGGAAGAACTGCTTGACTTTGCATTTGGTTTGTACCACATTTTCTTATTTTTAGATCTCAAGAACCTGTCTTGTTACTAAAGAGATGCTGTCATACACACGCGCAAATGTTGTCTTGGACTTCACTAAGTGGCGTTTCTCTCTTTGTTGTGTAAATTTGCAGTGGTCAAACACTCCAGCTACCTCAGATAACGGTAGTTATTTTTGGAAGCGAGTTAGTCCTCAAATGAGTTCTCCAACGCAAGTGTACAGGGAGATTTCAACCCATGGATTAGGCCTAGGCCCAACCTCTGGAAAATCGAGTGCACAACTTCGTGCTAGTCTGCATCCTATGCTACGACATAAGCTCGTATGTGTGATCATACATTAAATTTTGTCCGTGTCCTCTAGAGCTTTGCTTTCATCAACGTGTGTGTGTGTGTGTGTGTATATATATATATATATATATATATATATAGTTATGTATTTATCGTTATATATATATATATATATATATATATATTCACGTTTATCTATTTTTAAAATTTTCCATATGCTTTTAAATATTGCGAACTTAATAAATACATTTATTTTCTAATGGTACTTGTTATTTGGATCATTTTCAGGAAATGTGGGAGGAAAATCTCAGTGCTTCTGTAACCCTACAGATCTTGGAAATTGTTGAAAAGTTTATGGATGCTGCAGCAGTTCATGTGGCAGTAACTGACTATGTTAAGCTTGACTGTATCACAACTATCTTCATCGGCTTCCTGAGCCGTAGTCAACCCCTACCGTTCTGGAAAGCGTTTCTGCCAGTCTTCAATTCTCTTTTTAAGAGTCATGGCTCAATCTTGATGACTCGAGAGAACGATAGGTTTTTAAAACAAGTGGTGTTTCATCTGCTGCGCCTTGCTGTGTTTAGAAACGAATCCATTCGCAAAATGGCAGTTGTGGGACTTCAGATTCTTGTTCGCGTAAGTTCTAACAATTATGCTTTTATGGTATATTATGTGATTTCATTGATGTAATCACATCTTTTAGCATAGTGTCACCGATTGCTGAGAATTGACATTGACTTTATTTTGCTTTCAGTTGGGTTACAATCTCCGTAAACTCATTATATATTTGTATGAAGCGTTCTATTTTATTTGTCTACAAGCTTGTGCTTCGAGAAATATTGGATGTGGGACCAACTCTAAAAATTGTGCATCTTCTTGCAGACATCTTTTTGTTGCTTTCAGAACATCTCAAGGTTGAGAGTTATGCTGACTATCACTCTATCAGAGTTGATGTCAGATGTGCAAGTCACTCAAACAAGAATGGATGGCGTGCTGGAAAGGAGTGGTGAAGCCCAGCGCCTTCAGAATTCTTTAAAGCAAATGGCTATGGCTTCTTACAGCGAAGAGTTGTTGCGTGAATGTGGTCTTCCTGAAGATACATTGGATGCTAATTTTGACAATGAAGGCAAAGAGTTCTGGAATTGGTCAGAAGTGAGCGATTTGTCGGAGACACTTTTGAAAGCACTTGACGCGGCAACTGATCATGCCCTTATGGTGTATATTTTACCTCTTTATATGTGGTAGACTGTGATTGTTGAATCTCACCAATGCCATGACCTCATTTACCGTTCTGAAAATTGTGGTTTTTGGTACCAAGCATTGATTGGATAACGGATTTCTTTCACTGCATTCATTCATTCAAAAAGTATTCAATGTTTTGCAGGCGCCATCAATGATGACAGACAAGTATTCTACTACTGAAGGATTTTACTGCCTGGCTTGGGCTTACAAAAATGTCCCAGATTTGCATATTATGTGGCTTTTATATCTGTGTGATGCCCATCAACAAAACCAATCATGGGCTGAAGCTGCTCAGTGTGCAGTTGCTGTAGCAGGTGTTATAATGCAGGTAATTGGTATAGATCTTGACCGAGGCTGTAAAGATTTATGAATGGATAGTGTGCTGTGTTAGTCGGTCATGGTCTTGCTACTCTGTCCTTTAAAGCACCTTGCTGTGTGTGTGTGTGTGTGTGAGAGAGAGAGAGAGAGAGAGAGAGAGAGAGAGAGAGAATAATTTTTTTTAAATGTTTCATTTATTATTTAATGTTTATTCTTCTTTTTGTTCTTTGTCTGGATTATGTACTCATTGATGTACCAACATTTCTTACGCTGCATTTTAGCGTGAAAGAGATTCATGTACTTCGCTTTGCAGGCAATAGTTGGACAGAAGGACAATCTTTGGGGTAAAGATCATGTGGCTGCTCTTTGCAAGATTTGCCCTATGCTCAGAGGTTCTGTTGTTGGAGAGGCAGCGTCTGCTGAAGTGGAGGGCTATGGAACATCGAAGTTGACAGTAGAGTCGGCTGTAAAATACCTGCAATTAGCTAACAAACTGTTTATTCAAGCAGAGCTTTTTCACTTTTGTTGCAACATTCTGGAGCTTATCATCCCAGTTTACAAGGCCCGAAGATCTTATGGTCAGCTATCTAAGTGCTACACATCTCTGTGCAGCATTTATGAGGCTTTACAAGAGCAAGAAGCAAGTCCTATTCCGTTCAAGGATGCAACATATTACAGGGTTGGATTTTACGGCTCGCAGTTTGGAAAAATGGACCGCAAAGAGTATGTCTACAGAGAGGCGCGTGATGTCCGTTTAGGTGATGTCATGCAAGCTATGGGAACCATTTATGAGTCTAAAGTAGTGGAAGGTGGTCAAACACTACATATCATTCCTGATTCTCGTCAAGTGAGTGATCAGGATCTTAAACCTGGAGTATGCTACTTACAAATAACATCAGTCGACCCTGTTCTCGAAGATGAGGATCTAGACCTCCGTAAGGAAAGGAAACCTCCCGAGAGTACTTCAAGAGTAACTACGCGAGTCTTTGATCGTTTCTTATTTGACACTCCTTTTACCAAGAATGGACGAACACAGGGAGGGTTAGAAGCCCAGTGGAAGCGTCGAACTATTTTGCAGACTGAGGGGCCTTTTCCTGCTCTTGTCAATCGTTTATTGGTGATTCAGTCAGAATCTCGTGAGTTCTCGCCCATTGAGAATGCCATCGGCATGATTGAGGGCCGCTACAAGGCTTTATTAGGTGAACTTGAAGAGCATGAAAGAATGGATGGCGACCAGGCCCCACGATTGCAGAGCCTGCAGCGAATATTGCAAGGAAGCGTAGCTGTTCAGGTATATTATTGTGTATGCATTCCTTGGTTTTTCGTCAGAAAGCTGTCCTGTTACAGCTTTCCGTTTCATTCTTATGTGATTTTCAGTGTTGTTCGGCTAGTAATCATCTGGTTATCGATAAGCGGAGTGGTGATAACCTCCTCAAATTACTTGTCTGATTCACTTTGAGCCCTGTTTCAACTTTAATTTGTTGTGTTGTTCTATTTCAGGTAAACAGTGGAGTACTTGGAGTGTGCACTGCGTTCTTGTCAGGGGAGCCAACAACTAAGCTGCGTTTAGAAGAGCTTCACCAACTAATATCTGTGTTGATGGAGTTTATGGCTGTATGCAAAAAGGCCATTCGCGTTCATTCTAGGTTAATTGGAGAAGAGGATCAAGATTTTCATTCAAATCTAGTGATCGGTTTTCAGTCTCTAAGAGAAGAGCTTTCTCGTTACATTCCTGCCATATTACCCGAACTTTGAGAGCTGGAAGATCGTTTTGAATTATGCCAAAGAATCGAAGGTAGTTTCGGTGTTCGTTTCGACTGGGTTCCTGGAGGCAGCTATGTTAGGCAGCTATCACTTCTTCGAGAGTGATATCCTTGATGATTTGGAGTAGCCCATCTCAGGTGACATGACCCATCCTTGAGAATCGACTCGACATATCCCTTAACGAGTCGCAGACCAATTGTCTCTTGTGTGGTTTCGGTAATCGTAGAATGAGTTGGCAAGGAACATAACCTTAAGCTGATTGTGGCAATCGGATGTAAGGAAGTAGACTCTTAGCGAGTAGTTGTGTAGTCCCCCAATTGCGGGTCTCAAAGATTTTTATGTACATTTGCAGCCCCCTATTTGGGACCGTGTCATACTGATTTGTTGTAAACAATAGTGAGATGATGGCCTAGTTAGCAGGCAACCTGGAAGTTAAGTTCCGAACTAGGATCTGGATCCTGCACTTCTTTTCTTAGAATTTGTTCCTAAGCCACACTTTGCTGTTATTGATGTAGTATACTGCCGAGCACATCTGTCTGGAAATCAACTGAGTCTTATGCATCTTGTAAAAATAGTATGAGCAAGGAATTCGAACTTTTCTGAAAGAACAAAACTATAGAAGTGAAGTTGGCGAAAACATGTCATGAACAAGTTTTCTGTGGTTGGTCATCGTATTTAGAACTATGCTCTTCACTTGAGCCTCGACTTCGACTGATAATTCCAACAGTTCGGTTGTTTTGATTAATGTCAGATACGCTAATTTCAAGCACCTTATTGCTTTGTCTGACAGTGATGTATTCTGACCAAGTCAGAGCACGACAATGCCTAACTGTTCCCAACACAAGCTGTAACTCATATGGTGGCTTCAAGAATCGCACGGCAGGATCCATATGGTTCCACCTGAAGTGAATGCTGAAGCTACTAATCTCACACATCGAACCTGCGGCAACGGATTGTGAGCATCGTTCATCTCCATCACTTGAACGCAATCTTTTGGGGCACAACTCTCTGATCTGTCAACTCCAGTTGACGGATGACGGGGTTTCGAAATTCGGTATGACATGGGAACACACCATGCAACAAATGGTCGCGCGCCAAGTGGAAGCTGGTCAAGGAAGTCAATACAGTCTTACCCGTGAATCGGAACGCGGGCCCCTCAAGAAACTTCAGAGTCCTTTCTGCCGTTGCTTCCGATCACGGATGTATGTGCACATACACCCACAACCTCAGACTGTAGCATCTGCATTAATCAAATGTCTCTGCCGTCGATTGTGCAACGATGGTCATGGATGGCCATGCGGCCATGACCGTCAGCTCGGGTTTAGTCTTCCTTCCTCTTTTACTAGGCTCCAATAAGTTGTGTGTGTCTCACAACTAGGTTTGGATTTCGAGAGATCTTTGACGCGATTCTGCCTTGAGAGGGGACCGGAACAAGCCGTCATGTGATGACAGTGCTATCAACGAAGTGGTCTGCTGTCGGCAACCACAGTCTGCGCATCCCTAGTTTTGGTGCGGACCGAAACCCAGGTTTACGTCCCCTCTCTGTCGCAAAAAGTTTCTGTCTTCATTCCCGTCATCTATTGTGGCCTTCAATTCCTTTCTCGGGTCTCTGAGTACGACGTAAGCATCGAAGCAGTTGGTGTTCTCCTTGTGGCTTCATTTGCTACCGGTGGTCTCGAAATTGAGGTTCGTCATCCCGGTTGTGGGTTTTTGGAGATTCGGGGTGAAGGGCTCTAGTTTTGGTTGTGAGGATCGCCCTGTAGCGGCCTTGAGCTCATGCATTGGGGTTCAGGAGGTTTTGGAGGTCAAGCGTATTTAAGGAGATGAGGGGAGTTATGGTTATTTCCATGCCGACGGACGGGGACTCCAAGGCAGTGTGTGCGGCTGTCTGGCATCAAGATCCTTCGCAGATGCATTTGCCGGCCCTTTTACCGCCGCAACCAGCGATTGCAGGCAGCAGTGGCCGCTCGTTTTTAAGGCGTCGAAGAAGGATGACGAAGGTTATGGGCTTCCTCATTATGCTTATATTTGCAATTCTCCTGGGGTTGAGGGCACCGAACCTTCTCACCACGGAGCACCAGCAGGAAAATGAAGACAAGCGCGTCCATGTGTATACGCTGTACCCCAAGTTCACCACGGTCCCTATTAAAATGACCCAAATTCGTCGGACTCTTCTGGAGCGTGACCTTAGCCGACTGGGGAAATCATCCGTTGGGAATCATTCTGTACGATTTCATGTTGGTGGCAACATATATCCTGACGGGTACTTGTAGACCTCTTCCCAATTCTTTTGCTTTTTCTAGCACTAGAAGTCTTTTTTGGGTACTTTATCTAATGGATCAATGTTGGAATTTTTCAGTAGTAATATATGCAGACGTCATAGTGCAATTACAACGATGTCGGAGTTGTATGTATTCTTTTGGTCAAGTTTGAATGTCTTGTTTTTTTTTAAAGGTCGTAGGTTGCATTAGATCTTCTCATGTTTGAGAATCTGATAGTGCTTGGTTAATGGTTCAATTGAGGCGCTTGCAGGTTGTATTACATGGCGCTTCTCTTGGGAAGTCCTCCTAAGTTATACTTCCTAGATATGGACACGGGCAGCGATCTGACGTGGGCACAATGTGATGCTCCATGTCGTAACTGTGCCATTGTAAGTGTTTGTATACTGGCTTCGTGGGCATCTACTTTTGTCGTGGATTTTGGTTGTTCGCTAAGTGGATGTTGGTCGTGCGTGATTTCTTCTTTCTTTGCATTTCTTTCACTAAGGAAGTTGGGCTGGTTTATTCTAAGGGAGTCGGTTCAATGTTCTACATGTTCAGGGGCCGCATGGGCTTTACAATCCTAAGAAAGCCAAGGTGGTGGATTGCCACCTTCCCGTATGTGCCCAAATTCAACAAGGAGGTTCGTATGAATGCAACAGTGACGTCAAACAATGTGATTACGAAGTGGAGTATGCTGACGGTAGTTCTACTATGGGGGTCTTAGTGGAAGATACACTCACCGTGCGTCTCACAAATGGAACTCTTATTCAGACGAAGGCTATTATTGGGTATATCCTTGTGGATCCCTAACAATGTAATAGTAATTAGGTTGAATTTTATCTACGAATTTGGAAGTCTTTTGGATGGTACCATGAACAGACCGTGCTCTTTGAACATAGGATTCGATGAACAATTCCCTCATATTCTTGAACATTTGCAAATTTATCTGTTTAGAATTCTATGCATTTAATAGTATAAATTAGTGAACCTAGTAATATGATACTAACCCGTGACGTTTTTATATCTAAAACAGATGTGGTTATGATCAGCAGGGGACTTTGGCAAAGTCACCTGCCAGCACCGATGGCGTCATTGGCCTGAGCAGCTCTAAAGTAGCACTTCCCGCCCAGCTTGCAGAGAAGGGGATCATCAAAAATGTTCTAGGTCACTGCCTTGCAGATGGAAGCAATGGAGGTGGTTACCTGTTTTTTGGCGACGAACTTGTCCCATCTTGGGGCATGACTTGGACTCCTATGATGGGAAAGCCAGAAATGTACGTATTTGTTACTTGTATAAATAGAATATATACATCAGCTCTTTCTGTATCTGCCACGGTACAGCTCTCAATCTATTTCTCTGCATCAATTCAGGTAGCTCTTTGTTTATGATTGATGAGACTGAGGTCGTTCGTATCGTTGGCAGGTTGGGTTATCAGGCTCGCTTGCAAAGTATCAGGTATGGAGGAGATTCGTTGGTGCTTAACAATGACGAAGATTTGACCAGGAGTACCAGCAGTGTAATGTTTGATAGTGGGACCTCATTCACGTATTTGGTTCCTCAGGCATATGCTTCTGTTCTTTCTGCGGTGAGTTTTGCTATGCCGTTTATTTTTGGTATGGTTTAGTTTTTGAGCTACTGAATGAAACTTATTCATCTTTCTTTCACATTATCTGAGAGCAGGTTGAGAAGCAAGCCAAACAGAGTGGTCTCTTACGGGTTAAGTCTGATACGACCCTGCCTTACTGTTGGCGAGGCCCGTCCCCTTTTCAGTAAGCTCATTTCAGCCTGTTTTTTAAGAACTCATCTCATACCAACTTAGATTCAGTTTGGTTGGCTGTTGGATGTTTGATTATGGTAGTAATGCGCAGGCATTTGATACTTATAATTGTTTGATGTGCTGCGGCAGGTCTATTACGGATGTTCACCAATACTTCAAAACTTTGACTCTTGATTTCGGTGGACGTAATTGGTTTGCAACGGATAGCACCTTGGACCTCAGCCCTCAGGGCTACCTGATTGTTTCGGTATGTATTCTTTGAACATACAAGTTAATTTTAGCATTTAAAACCTCACCTTGTTGTTTTTATTTGACGGCTCCCTCCCAAATGTAAGGTAGCATTGGAATGTGTATTACCGTAAGACATGCTCTCAATCTAATTCTGTACTTCTTGTGATGGTTGTAGACACAAGGCAATGTTTGTCTAGGTATTTTGGATGCAAGTGGCGCAAGTCTTGAGGTCACAAACATTATTGGCGGTAATGTGCTTTAACAACTCTTACCATCGCGTTATGTCTTGTATAAGTCTAACAGGTGCACTTATTACAGCATAAGGTACTAAATGAATTTGGAAACTCTTGCGCTGTTGAGACATACACAGTATATTTTACACGCCACACCAACATCTGAAGGTGTATAGACATCTCATTTTATGGTTGTATTAATCAGTCTTTTGTATGTGAAAGTAATAATTCTTACTGAGATCTCACAGCATGTGAACGTTGTGGATATTTTTTGCAGATGTATCAATGCGGGGTTATTTGGTTGTCTACGACAACGTTCGAGACCGAATAGGGTGGATACGCAGAAATTGTCACTCCCGCCCCACAAAGACTTCATCACAATTCGTCTCTCAAGTAACTTCTCTGCTCACATGAGCCCATTTCATGTGATATACATTAATCTGTTGGCTTAAAAAGTATAATGTTGACCTGCCGATGTGAACACCCTTTTCAAGAGCCATCACATTCTGGACACGACCGTCTATTCATCATACTTCGTGCTTTCTGAAGAGTAGGCTCTGCAGCAGTTTCTTTTGCAAGTTGTACATTTTTATTATCTGGCTGCAGCAATTTTCAGCTGAGCTGAGCGGTTACTCCTGGAAGCCTCTTCAAAGAACAGCCTCTCCATCGACATTTTAAGTTTGCATGGTGAATAGTGCATGTGAACTAATATCATCAATTTATGACTTTTCATGATGGTAGCACCAGATATCAAGCTGTACATGTGGTCGGTCAAAATTTGCACAGGCTGCTATTCTTCCTTATTGGCTTCGTTCTTACAGATTTTGCTGCCTGGACTAGTTCCAGAACATTGTTCTTGCAGTGTATTTTGTAGTTGTATTGCATCAGTAATTTGGTAGTCCGACTCTTGTATTTTTTCCAAATATATCTTCTTATTGTGTAAATTGACCATTATTTATGCCTCTGAATCATGCTTGGTAATGTTGTATTTACTTTCGTACTTGGATATTGAATATAATTGGAACACAATAATTTTTGTTCGAAGATTGTTCTTGCTGACGGTTGTAGGTTGCAACTTGCTCGGAGCAGTATGGCAAAGCAAGTCTGATGCATTGCATTTCTGTATACTCCATTCTCGTCCATCGTTAAAACTGGTAAACTGTGTACAACTGAATGCATGTTCAAAATCACATATGCGATATTCCAAAATATAAAATCTCAATGAATTTGAAAAAATTATTGCTGTTGAATTTCGGAATGCTGGAGAATCACACCTCTGAACTGTATTAGGAGAATCCTATTGGTATTAAATGGCGATGTTTGAATTCAACCGAGATCTCTTGCAGCCTTGCCAGTCTTGCTTAGCAGGTATTCAGCAGCTGTGGACTGGTGAGATGAGGGAATTCGACCATTTTTTGTGAATTAGGGCAGTCAACCCATTCTCGACCACCTCCCATTTCTGACCTATAGGGTGGTATATTTCTAATCAACTTGACATAATAATAATGATCAGTTTTAATACATTATGGTTTCACATTACTTAATTCACATTTTACCTCAACTCCAGATGCAGAAGAAATTATAGTCCATGGCACCATTGGGTAAGAAATGAAGAATTTCATGCTAACTCAAAAACTTTGGCTCAAATCAAGTATTCTTGATTTTGTAATCAACCACTCATTGGAATTAGATTGGTTTATATGTTGGATTTGTATCAAATAGAATCTTGAGCTTAAATATTAACATTAATTTTGTATCTGGGCAAAATGATGGAAAAACACCTAAAATCCTTTTGATTTCTATTTCTTTATATAAGGAATTTTTTAAATTTTTCATACATATATTGCAGATATGCTAAAATGCTTAAGTTATTGGAAATAGATCAACTACTTTATGTGGAACCTTTCATCACATGTTTCAAACAAAGTTGCTGCTGATGGCTAGAGCTGATGGCTAGAGCCCATGAGATTGCTTGTCTGCAATGGGTCAAGTCTTGCAGTTATTGACATTCATGTTTACCAGCTAAAATCCTCACTAAGATCAATGTTCATGAAAATTCTTCATATTTATTAAATAATCTTTATTTACAATTAAGACATTAGCATTATTTGTAACTTGATAGAGATTTAATTGCTGATGTAGAAGGAGATTTGAAATCCAAGATTCTACATGACTATTTGTAAAAAAAAAATATAGAACTAATAATTATAGTAATGTTTGGTCTTACTATTGGTTATATTAATGTTTGCCAATTTCAAAATATTTTGACGATTCCATATATTTAGTACAAGATAAGTAGATAGAAAAGAAATTGGTTTCATTATATGTGTGTGTATATATATATATATATATATATATATATACATATAACTTAGGAAAAAAATTAGTTTTTTACTAAAATTAAAAATTATAATATATTTTGGAACAAAACATCAAATAAGTTTGATTTGAAGGCAAGATCTTTGATGCAGATAAAGAATCATATGATTTTAAAAATTGAAGGTCTTGGTAAAAATATTATCCCATATTCTTTTAAGACAAATTTTATTTTGTTTTATCTTAATGAGACTCTAATTTTTCTTTATTCTCTACTCAAAAATCATTTTTTTATACAAATATATTCTCTTCTTAAATACTAAATTTTATAATTGATCTTTTATAGCTTATATAATAATGGCTATTTTAAAATAAATTAAATCAAATACATAAATATTATTATTTAATAAATATTTATAGATTAAATATCATAATGATACTATTATAAGTTTTGGAGAGTTCTTCTTTTGAACCAACTAACAAACTTCAAAATCTTTAAAAGCTTGAGTATGTTTAAACCTGTTTTTTGAAATTGTATATATGTTAAATCTAAGATTTCTAAAATATAAATAATTTATAAAAATTCATACTTTTAAAATTTAATAGTTAAAAAAATTATCGAATAAAAAAATAATGATAATAATAATTATAATAATAATTATTATTTTTATTATAATTTTGAGTATTTAGATTTTTTTTCTTTTTAATTACTTATACTTTGGCCCATACTAATTACTAGAATTTTAATTTTTTTGACCAGAAGAATCTTTTGCTGAAATTAAAAATTTATACCAAAAGTATTATATTAATATAATATATTAATATTAGGTTAAATATATTATATTAATATAATATAAGGTTAAATATATTATATTAATATAAGGTTAAATATATTATATTAATATTCTAATTACTTGCAATTAATTCTTTTTTATAATCTTTATTCATCCATCTTTGTACTAAAAAAAATAAAATTCAATTTAGCATTTAAATTATCTTTTAACTTCTTAAGCCATGCCAACACATTGATTTTGTTTTACAAGTGCTCCAATCTATAATATCAAAATTTTCTTACAAGTATGTATTTTTTAATGTTTATTTTTAACTTAAAAAAATTATAATCTTTAAAGCCTTTTTTTTTTGTTAATTTTTAGCTTTAATAAAGAATAGTTTAATTTAGTCCAAAAATAAATGATCAAATTTGTTACTTTTGTCTAATCCTAATTTTGATTTCATTTCATTTTTTGAGTAATTTATAAATACATTTCGAGGTACTAGATGAAAAAGAGTTGCAAAAAATGTAAAAATAAATAAAAATAAATAAATTGATATATGCCATAATGCTCAAATTCAACTACTATTTGTGTTGCAAAATTTTAACAACTACTTGCAATGTGGATTGAAAAAATAAAATCCTTATATGTGTATTTTGATATGACTTGAAACATAATGTCAAAGATTTATATCTAAAAATTCCAAAAAAATTATTAGAGTAATTTATGACTAAAGCAATTGCATGCAATAATCAATTCTCTTTAAGACATAAAAAACAAAGATTTAATTGGAGAGAGACAAGTCAATAATGAAAATAACTACTAGGAGTAAAGAAAATTATTTATTAAGATAAAAATTTATGCAAGTTTATGCAACTCCATTCAAGAAATCAACAATAAAAAAAAAATATAAACAATTATAAAAAATTATGTTTATCTTATAGGTAAATTAGATTCTAAATCATAAAAAATAAATATAAGGTTTTTACATTAAATTAAATAAGTTGAAGACTTGGGAATCTAACTCAAATATTAAAAAATAAAAAAATAAAGATACTTAATTGTAATAGAGACCTTATAGGTAGGCAACTATGAATTATAAGTCTCATGCTACTACTAAATTCTACACCTTATTTTAAACTTCTCAAAATAATTATCATTAATATTTTTCAATTTTCAAATAAACTCCTTTGAATACTAAAGTCTCAACTTATTTTATGAATAAAGATTTCGGACTCAAACACTAATTAATATTCTCAATGAAGATTCTACTAGCTCTAATAGAGATTATTAATGGAGGACTACTTATATTTAAAATTCTTATTTAGGAGACCAAGTGATATTGTGTTGCAGCACAACTATTGGATAAAAGAGAAAGAAAAGAATTATAATTTAGAAGAGCTTAATCGTATACATAGTAGCAAATTACTTTAGAAATAGAAATAATGGCTAAAGAGGTAATAAAAAAAATATAGTGCTAATATTACATTTTTGTAAAAAAAAAACTTCTATTTACTTTGTAGGACTATAAAAAAGAAAAAATAAAGTAGATAAAAAATATAATATTATAAAAAACTTTAGATAAAAGTAAAGAATATCTTTTAGCAAAAATTATCGAAAAAACTATACATCGATATCTCTAGACTATCATTGGTTGTGAAGCAAGTTCAAAACTACATCCAATGCTCAAAATCACCCATCTACAATAAATGCCAAGTTTATTTTATGAATTGAAGAGCAAAGAAGCAAACAAACTTGATTGGTTTTTTTTTAGCCTTCACTTTGAAGGATTTGAATGGATGTTGACTTTATGAGAGCTTTGCAAAGTCAAAGTTATTTTGGATGATTTTATTTTTTTTGAATAAAAATAAAATCGATTTTTATATAAATTATAAAAGTTTTGTTGCAAATTTTAAAATAAAAAATATGAGTTTGTGAATGTAGCCTTGTTAGATGTATATTATGACTTCAAGTTTAATCTAATAGTTGGACCAAAGATTATCAAAATTTAACTAAGTTATGATCTTAGAATTTGGACTTTGAAGATTTGTAAAGGTTTACATGATTTTAAGTAATTTGCTAGTTGAATTGAAATGAATATTTTTTGAATTATTAATTGGCTAGGATTTACTTAGGATTTAATTAGGATTCAGTAAGAATTTTAAAGAAGATCTTTAAGATTTCTTAAGATTTGGTTGAAATTTCTTCAAGATTTTTTTATGATTTTTTAAGGACTTCTTTAGGATTTCTTTAAGTTTGATTGGGATTATTAGGGATTTTTTAAGATTTATTTAGAATTAATTAGAATATAATAAGATATTTTGAATATTTTTATAAGGTTGATAAGATATACGTTGCATATTTAGGAGTTTATTTATGTTATTGAGGAATGCCAAAAAGATGTTTTTAAACATCTTATGCATTGTTTTTAAATTATAAATCTAATTTCAAGGTAAGATCAAATTCTCCTACAACTAAATGCCTAGTATATTCTTAGGTTGATTTTCATATAATACAACAATGGTTAAAAGTGGCATTAAGAGATTAAGCATTAAATATAATTTTTATTTTTTAAAAAATTAATTGTATTTGGTTTTCTTTTAAATTATATTAATTTATGTAAAATTTTAAAAAATTAGTCAAAAACTTAAATAACTATCTTGATTTTATTTGTTAGACTTGGAATATTTATATAAGTTATAAAAGAAAGAGATTTTTTTTATCATATATACATTCTTAAATACTCATTTAAGTTAAGATTTTAGTAGAGTCTTAAAATAATATAAAGAATATGAAGTTGTATTCAAAAAATAATTATTATTAATATATTACTAAAAAAATCAATCTTAGGATTGAAAAATTAATCTTAAAGGAGTTTAAATACCATTTAGATCAATCTACGATTTGATGCAAAAAACTTATTGTTCTAATAGAATATATTAATAAAAATCTTAAAGAGAGTTTTATTTAAAATTAAAATTTCTTATAGGTTTGCTAATCTTTTCTAAGAAAAAAAAGATGGATCTATGTAAATTAATGTAGATTATTGTAGATTCATAGATCTATAAAAAATAATGAATCCACAATATTCAATAATCTACATTCAAAGATGGATCTATAAAAAAATTCCACCTATTACAAATTAAAGAAACAAAAAGATGAATATAAGACATTGTTCAAAACCAAGTATGTTCATTTTGATTATAATATCATATCTTTGGACTGACATATGTCATAATAACTTTTTAAAATTTGTTAAATGATATATTTTTTGAAGTTTTAAATATTTTTTTTGTGTTTATTTAAATATCTTCTTTATTCTAAAAACATAGAAGAGCATGATTAACATATTTTTCTTGTATTACAAAAACTTCGAAATATAAGACTATATGCCAAGATAAAAAATTATGTATTTTATAGAAATTAAATTAAGTTTTTGGAATAAATTATTGCTATCGACTATATTCAAAGAGATTTTAAATAGAAAAAAATTATTATAAATATAAAAAATCCAAAATTTCTAAATAATTTTTAATTTTTATTAAATTTAAAAAATATAATAAAATATGCATCAAAAATTTAGATTGGATCATTTTTTTTCTTTACAAAAATAATTTGCAAAGACAAATTGAAGTGGAGAAAAGATGAAAAATTAGGATTTTAAAGTTTAAAAATGGCTTTTACTTCAATTACTTTTATATATATATATATATTTAAAATCATTTTTATAAAAAAAAATATAGGAACCTTGTATTAGGCGTATTTTTATTACAAATAGATGCAAATGATATTTTTCATCCATTTAATTTCTAAGAAAAAAATTTCAATAGTTAAGATTTGTTATTAGATTTTAAAAAAAATAAAAAATAAAAAATAAAATTATGGTTATAAAATTATTTAAAGAATGAAAATAACACCTAAAAGACACTTCTTATTTAATCAAAACCTATATAAGTTAAAAAAAATCTCAAGTATTTCATGTTAGCATGAGATAATTTTTTTTTTTTAATTTAATAAAATGCATCTTTGTTTAAATATTTTTTTAGTATTATATATCATTTTGGAAAAAAAGAAGGCTTTTTGAGATATCTTGCTTGAACATTCCTAGCTTGAACCAAGAGAGAACAACAGTGCATATATTTGACAATAATACATTTTTATAAATATAAAGCAATCGAATATTTGTGCCATTGAGTCAATAAGTCCAATTGATATTAAGTTTTTTTTAATAAAGTATGTTCAAGTGCATTAAGACACTTTCTTATTTTAGATGTTAGGACCAACTTTTATAACCAACTTTTATAATAAACTGGATAGATTTTATTTCACAAACAACCATCTCTTTTAATTATTATTTTTTAAATATTCAAGAAGGTTAAGCATGATTATATATACATCAAATAAAATATGACTTCACAATAATACAATGATTTAGATATATTAAAACAACCTTAGTATTTAATAAAATTCAATAAACTTTTTATTTAGATATATCAAAACAACCATAGTATTTTCTTTAATAATTTTTTTTATAATTCTTCAAAATATATATATATATATATATATATATATATATATTTAATGGTATATTTCTAAAATAAAATAGAATATTTTTTATTTAATAATAAAATAATAATATATATGTTATAATATTTATAAATAATTTAGACTTCTAACTAATATTATATTGGATGGAAAATTCTAATTTTTAGTAAGATTTTAAAGACGTTTTTGTAAAAAATATCAAAGATTGATATTAAATTGTTTTAAATTTTTATTCTAAAATTAATAAAAGAAATATATAAATGAAGTATTAGAAAAATATATATTTTGTACCACCAAATTATTATCAAGTAATTAGACAATTTCATTACCATCAAGAATTTTTTTACATAATAGTGTAATATTTTATTTATTTATTAAAAATTATTTTTTAAATATATTTATTTTACTTTATTAGAGAATTTTGTTTCTAAAATTAGAAAATAAAAAATAAAGTATTTAGTAAATAAAACTTTATACAACAGTGGAGATACAAGTAATTGAGGCTCAAAGAAAAAACAATTTTTTCAATTGATTTTAGGAAAGAACAACTTCTATTTAATGTTTATTAAAATGTATGATTATTATATTTGTATAGTAATAATACTAATTGGTCTTAAAGTGGGTTATATTCTAAAATTATATGAATTTAATTTAGTATTGATTGTAATTATGAAAAATAATAAAGATTTGTCCCATATTTAATATATCATTTATTGTACTTTCTACCATATTAAATTTTTCATTAATTAAAAATAAATAAATAACTTTAAAAAAAGATAAGTATTTTTTAAAATAAATGGTGAGATACAATATGTATAATATAATTATCTTCAAATGAAATTACCATGTTTACTCATAATATTGGAAGTAGATACTATACTTGATGGTATGTAATATATACTGTCTAGAGATAATTATGAAGAGTTTTACAATTATTAATAAACTGGGTACTCTTCTTGCTCTTGTGTGAGACATTATTAATGTATTATTTGAAATTAATTATGAAAGCCTGAACAAAAATAAAAATAAAATATGTATGCTCTTCTTGCTCATGTATCAATCATTATTAACTGCATTAGTGAAAAATATAAATTAGAGTTTGTTGTTAATATTATCCAATAGAATTTATTTACTTATAAAGCAGCTTGCTTAACCACTGTAGAATTCATCCTTATAAAATTGGATTCAAGATAGATTTAATTAGGTTAAAATACAATGCTCTATTTAACATCTTTTTAATACATTTTAGATTGAAGACTTTTACAGATGTATTTTATTGTGGCTGTTAGCTGTATGTAGTTGGTTAAGAAATTTTAGTACAAAGAAATATGAAACTAGTTATTTATGGTTCAATTTTTAAATCATTAGTAATCTCTACACATTTTTCAGGGTGTAGTATTTTTCTTTACAAAGAAGATTAGCATACTTGCAAGAAATCTCGAACTTGACATAAATTTTTGCCATAACTTAGAAAGTTGGTTCAAGGACCTCCATTAACTCGCTAGAAAGCACGATTATATTACCGAATAATAAGCGTCATTTTTCATGTACAAAACAAGATTATAAATATTACCTTGGTTGAGCAGCTACAAAATCTTGATTCTGCTTTGCTTATCTTTGTTACTTTGTCAAAAAGAAAATGTTGAGCAAATAGTTTACAACATACGTCTATTCATATGCTTGGTTTTGGATTAGGAATGAATCTGCATCAATATCCGTGTTCTAATTCTAGAGCAACACGCTTTACAAGGCGTTACAGTCTTCACAAAATATCCTAAATCAAGGCAGAAAATCTGCAGAAACAAGGGCACCGACCTAAACAAAACCAGGAGATGATCGCTTATGATATAGTTTTTGCTAACTGACCTAGTTTAACAATTTTGATAACCAAAGTATAATGCAGTATTATTCCAATGGGTGGAAACCAAGAAGGTGAAAGTAACTCCAAATGTTTGTACCCACACACCTTGGCCGAGAATGAAAAAAGATCAAGAGGTTTCCATCCTGCGCTGGCTTCACTTCTGTAGGCTCTTTGAATCCAAATTCCGGCAATCGATATGCCCGCACAATTCTCCAGACCACTTGTTGCTGCATCACCCAAACTAATCGCAGGATATCCATTTAATTCTAGAAACTTCTTACCTATAGCTTTCTGGAGCAATGATCACTCTACAAAAGATATAACAAGAAAAAGTCGAACCAAATTTGAAGTGAAACGATTAAGGTGGGGGAAAACTAGTTTCCCACTTTGGAAGACATACATCATTTTGCTATCAGAGGGTTAGAGAGCTGCAAACAACGGAACTAGAGCCTTACATGTGTTCTTTTAGATCAGTTGAAATCAGCTTCAGGCTCCTGCACCTGGAGCTCGTTCGTTTCTGCGCTAGAGGTGGAAGGGTGCGGTCCGTTCAATTTAAATATTTGTTCAGGGAGCCGGAACCCATGATGATGAGAACGTTAGAGGATTGCCCTTCCACAACAAAGACTGGGTGTTGGTTTCTTCATCGTTCTTCATTCCCCATCCTGTGTTGTGATGATCCACAACATCTTGCAATTGCGATTTCACATCTTCTCTGACCGGCTGAATCCTAAAGCGAAGTTTGTTCATTCGTCGAAGCCACTGTTTCTTGGACTCCAAACGGTTTAAGCGATTCAAACCTTCACAAGCAACAATGTTTTCAATTTTTTTGCCCACGTTCTTCTCATGTTCTTGACGTTCAGAATTTTCTGAAGGCCATATAGTGGCTAAGAAGTCGAAAGGCATCCACTCGTAAGCGTAGGACTGCTCTACGCGTTTGACGAAGCAGGACGAAGATGTGTCACAGTCTTCTTCATATAATGTGACAACAGTGGGATTGAGACAGCGGATCAAATACAGGAACTTGTCGCCAGGACAAAGAGATTGAGGAGCTCCATATTGCTGAGACTCTCTGGGGCTTGATTCATCTGTTGACTCTTCTGATAGGTGATGGATTCTGAGAGAAAGGTTCACTCCCAGAACTTCTTCTTCCCGTAGTCTTAAGTCGGAGGAAGAGAGATTTGCTAGGGGCTGTGATAGGACATCAAAATCGAAGGGTATATTCCTCAACCTGGCGTATTTTGAGAGACGTTGGCCGACTTCTTCGTAGGTGGTCTGCAACCTTGGGGGAAAGGGTACAGATGAACTCAAAAGAGTGAGTCGAAAACTGCTTGGTGGGCCGTGCTCGCGATCAGATAGTGCTTCGATAAAAGTGGGCCATTGCATCCCGTGCGTGGTGCTGAAATCGAGGATGTGAATCTGTTCCACGCCTTCGAAGGCTTCCAACAATGCTCCATTTGAAGCTGTGTAACCGAAGCGAAAGTATGGAGTCAAATCAACTAGCCGCGTGAGCTCAGTGAGACTATACCTCCGCTCTGTCCACTGTACTTCTGTGAATGCGAAAAATCCTCCCATAAGTACCTCGCAATCAGTGTAACAAATGTGCAACGCAGAATGCTGTTAATACTCATTCATTTGTTACAATCCAAATTGACCCTTGGCTACGTCAGCTTGTTCACACCACATCCAGAGCATCCTATCATTCACCACCTATACATGTGTGAGGTTATTGTTATAACATTTATGACCTTGTACATATTTTCCTATCACCGACATCTTCAGAATACCAGCTGATCATCATTAGACACACATCTTCCAACTACGTAGTCCAAGTCACGTTCAGTACACTATTATGGTTAATTTATTCTGAAAAACGCAAGTCAAGTGCTAGCAGGAACAATGTCTTTTCTAACTGGTAAGTTCAGCCGATGGAAAGGACCAAGTTTCTACTAGTACACGCAGCTCGACGGTGTCTGCATGCATGCATGAAGTAACATTCAGATAAAAATTGTCTCTGTGGCAGCTAATTTGAGCATCGTTAGTACTAGTATGAAATACGGTGACTAAGGATAAGTGATTCTACTTTACTATGGATGAGACTGAAAGAGTTGACATGAACTTACCATCAGAATTAGTGGTTTCAGATGAAGAGGTAAAATTTGAAACGTCTGGCATGGAGCTACGTCTGAGTAGAAGAGCTTTCAGAAAGTATGCAGTTGCTCGCTCGCTGGGTTCCCCCTGAATCGATGATACTTTCTTCAGAGCAGAGACGGCTTTTTCGACAACGCTGGAATCGTTTTGCTTAATCGCTGTAGCGCAGATGACCAAGAGTTGCTCTGGGGTCATGCCCTCCACAACAAAATTACTCATCTCAGATGATTCCTGCGGACAGAACTATTAATTTTAACATGGCCAAGTGTGTGAAAGGTCATCGTGCGTTTATATCTGTTACATTCAGATGGAATTCGTGTGCTAATACCGACTGGTGAATGCAAAAAAAAGAGGGAGAATTATTAGGTGACAATCTTGGTTAATATGGACAAGGAGATATGTCATCTGTTTACTTTTCAACATTTGCCCGGAGAACGTGCGTGGACTTTCTATGGTCAATAGCGGCCTTCAGCGTGCAGCCGTGTTATACAAGCGTGCCCGGTTTGATACCAGCAACTATTAGTTCAAAAGTATGTTTAGACGACGTAAACTAGTACCCATTACCAGCTACAGGGGTTGGACTAATCTACAAATGTAGTCATGTCACCCCTACATCTGAATAAGACAAAATGATTTGTGTAAAAATAGATTAAAATGTATGAGTTAGCAGTTCACTGGGTGAATCATGGGAACTCCAGAGATCTGACCTTCAGCATAAGTTGCAGACGAGAACGTAAATCATATCACTACATCGGACTAGTTTTTACAAAAGATGCAGAAGACACTTTCGTCCGATGATAAATTTTTGTATGAAGGAACCTCATGTAAGTATTGTTTTTAAGTTCGATGCTAATATGTTAGAGAAATGTTGTTGAAATTTAATAACCTCTTGGATTACTTGGAGGGACTTCTTGCATGAACAAAATCATATGAGTAATTGAACCCGGCTAGGTCTCACCGTTGTTACCGAACCAATGCTAAGTTGTCGTTGCTGTGAGAAGTTGTTCATAGATGACGAAGTACCACCTGAATGAGTGAGGCCTTCGGAGTTGCTGCTACTCACATGTTGTAAACGGTTGCTACAAGTTCCCGTTGAACTTAAATATGTTTCCCCCTGCATTGCATACCTCATGTCGAAGCTCAACACATCTATGATGATTATTTCAGTGGTTGCTGTCGGCTCTACTGTTCATCATGACACTATTTTACTGTTAAGGAGTCAGGATCGGTCATTTAAAAAACAAGAAGTGCCTCCACAGTGGGACTTTCATGCGATTCGACAGTTAGCATAAATTCCTTGAGGTTATCTTCAATGATACAGTTGCGTAGATCCTGAATGAGAAAGCAATGGTAAAATGTGAACTGACTACTGCTGAAAGCATGACATCAGACTTGTAATGTCAATTGAAACTTGTAGCACATCTGTCAGTTTGACACTCAACTGATTACAAATTTGTGTTGTATTGACCATCAAGATGACTTTCAAGTGCCAATTTGAAATTCACAAATCGTACATGACATGAACTGTACCTTATAAGTGAGGGATGGAGAGCGCTCTGATGGTTACTGGCATCGATGTCCCAAGCAGTTGCGCCTGTGCAATGATATGATTTAGCCTAAATTTTATTCCGACAAGGTGGAGTATGTGGCAAGAAAGTCTGGTTATATATCTGAGGATCCGCAAACTCCGTTCACAATCTGCCTTATGTGTGTCAGTGCCAAACTGGAGTTTGATTACAGTTATCCTTCTGCCAGTTATTTCACGCTTAATCCACCACTGCCGCCTGCAACAGACTGGGAGGAGACTTGATTCAATCTACTAGACATCACTTCAGTGAGCATTTTTCTGATCAGTAGAAAATGAGACAAAAAGAAATTGAAATTAACCGTAATAATAATGGACTGATTCCTTGATAAGTTATCTCCACTTAAATATAATTTTGATCATCAGAGGGGTAGGAATTATGGAGAGATGAATATAAAAGGAAACGGAATGTGAACAAACCCAGGCTGCTCGTTAACCTTGTCTTCGTGTCCTATCATCCTTCTTCATTTTGCTGTTGAATCTTCACCTTATCACACTGAGCAGAGTGCTACACAGAATAGATTTTTCTATCTTCACGTTGAGTTGTATTCTTTGATGCCGAAAGTAAGATACCATCTCTGATAGGAGAAATTTTCCGTCTTTCTTCATACAAAACTTTAATACTGAGACTATGATCAGCCTGCTTGCATCATAATTGCACTCCTCGGTTGTGGCCGACAGCAATGAACAGTGCCGGTGACATAGATCAAAAAACCTTGGATATGCAAAGCTGAGTGTTCAGAAAGCAAGCTTGCGATCAGTTGCCACGTAACCGCCGAAGAATGCTGAAACGTTGACATTGTATAGTGTTAGATGCTTCCAATAAAAAAGACATTACTTTAAAAACTGTGAGAAACGTGTCGAAGATGACCCTTGTTGCAGGTAGAACATGTGCGGAACCCTTTGCTAGAGGTTGATGGCCATAGTGCGTAATTCTATAGCTTTGCGTAGTTGTTTGGTTTTGGTAAAATCCTTCGATTCGGTTCTAGTTCATTTGATGAATTCTAAACGTTCCATACGTAACACCCAGTATGTTCTTTGCACTGAAAGGAAGCCCTAAGGTTTTGGTTAGAAAACTAAAAATGGCTTAGGACAGCCTCTGATTTCAGTCTTCGTATGGGAGCACATCTTACCGTATCACGGATCTTCTTCGTCCCTCGGGTGGGATCAGTGCCTCTCAGTTTTAATAAAGATCGACGATCATCTGTTACGCACGGTGTATATCTGAAGGGACCTAGTGTAAGTATGCATGAAGGATTACGGTGTAAGTGAGTTGTACAGGTAGTTGTCATTGGTTCAAAAGGATGATCACGATGAAGGTATGAGATGCAGATCTTACATGCTGGAGACCTCTCTGAATGCGAGCTACATCCTTTATAAACAAGATCCTCACATAAGGTTCGCAGAATACTGTTGCAGAAGAGCAGCAGCAGATTTCTTCAGCTCAGTGACCATAGAATTGACAGTCATGATCAGAAGCGGGTAGTGCTCAGAGGCAGTCAGGAATAAGCAACGGCTCTACTTGGAATGCAACAACCCCCGGAGCGAATGAAGCATTTGAGCCTTGAGAGAGACCCTGCAAAAATGTTGGAACTGACCGATTCATGGGATTGCGGAAGACCTTTGGAGCCAAGCATGAGAAGATGCAAAACTTCTTGTTCACCACTGAAAAGACGGTCCACCTCTGCCCAATCTTAGTGTCGACTTCAGCCTATTTCTGATAACGCTCCACAACCCAAACCACCCTAACACAGGACAAGAATCGCGATTCGGGACCCATGTAAGCACCACTTCCTCACTCATTACAGCAGATCTCACACTGGCTGATTTGATATTAAACATCGGTGATTGATTGAATGAACAGGCTAACCCAAACCCAACGACGATATACCTTCAGAAGTCACTAGTGCAATGATTCCTGCCAAATCTTGATTCATATTCATCGAGGCCGCAGCTCTGACTGCATTGAAAAGAAGAAAAAAAATAACGGTGGGAGAATTACAGCATGAGACACAGCCTAAGAATCATATGAAAAGTACCGTCACTCAATAAGGGTCAAGCCATGCACAGTGGCACTTTCCATGGAGCAAAAGGTGGTCGGCGCTAGCTTGGTTAGGTCGTGGTGGAGATGCAGGAAGGATGAGCCTCGGGGTCCGGAGCGGCACCCACCTGCGTCATGTCCGGATTCACGACCGAATGCAAGCACGCTGGTCCAGGGAAAGGTCTAAATGCACCTACATGCTTGTATTGTTCCAGCATTCATACACACAGCCATTGGAACGCTGATTCTTGGCTGGCACTACCAGGAATGGGAGAATGAACGTGTCAACTCCAGGTTTGGTGGTTGTGCGTTCATGATGCTCGACCTTGCTATACTGCTGCTGCTCTCATTGCACAAAAAGTCCTCAGCCATGCTGATCGTATTGGTCGCTGCTACTTCTCTGGAGTCAAGAAGTTTCGGAAGTGATGATGACGCGGATGAGGTATTTGGTGTGCACCCCGACGTTGATTTGATGCACACAACTCTTGCAGGTGTAACCCGAATACCATGATCAGTGCGTTGTAAATTCTTTATGTGCTTTTTTTCTTTTTCGTTACAGGAAATTGCTGGAGCTAGTGTGGAGCTGGCATTTAAGGTTCCAAGCATCCAGCTTGAGGGCCACAGTTTGAGCTCAAATCGGTTCAGTGCATCGTACGAAAGGACTGCAATTGTATTTATCGCCCATAAAACAGGACTTGTTGGCACGGATGATGGCTGCCATTCTGTGGATGCTGGACTCAAGACACAACTGAAGCAGGTTATCAACGTCCAGGTTTACCCAACCGCTTTGTTTCTTTTGGGGGTGGGATGGCGTTCTACTGCACATCATTAGTAGTCTAATTAAGGCTTCGGGATAAAAATGATGCGTGAGAGTGGGAAAAACAAAACCCTTTCAGACTACATCCGAGCCTGGACGGCTGCCTTTTGCCTGTCTCGTGGCAGACGCTTTCACATAATGAAACTCTAGTCCACAGAGACCACTGCCATTGTGATAGGGAGAGGCGTCCGACGTACCGCAGATTTAGTGGTGGAGAGCGAATCTGCACATTCACCATAGTCGAAGTTTACAGCTGGTCATGACGTATTCTCGGAGATCGTGCCATGCTTATTTCTGGCCGCTAACAACAGTTGCTGCTCCTTCTTTGGTCAGGCACGAGGTCAGGGACGAGGTCAGGGACCGAGTCGCAGTGTGTGGAAGTAGCAGTAGCAGGTTATAAGAGCATCTCCACCCGTGTCCCACTAATTGGGCGCGCCATTGGGCTTGCGATGGTAGGGTCTGCACGGTACGGAACCTGGAGACATGGGTTGTACCATGATGCGGATTCAGTCCCCAGAGTCCACCTCTACAGCGATTATTAACGGTGAGACAGGAATGCTGATTGGAGGATCTTGTGTGGCTCAGCTTGCCCCAACACCATGCAGTTTCCATCTGGCGAGCCCTATACCTATTTTGCACTGTGTGAGCTTTACGTGGGGGGTGGTTGGTCCCGCCAATATAGTTTGGCCGTTTTTGTTTCGGCCATGCCATAATCTCGGTTCGGCTCTTAAAGTGATCCCCTGGAGTTCTTTGTGCAGATGTAGGCCCATTTGATTCTAGTTGGGTTGTGGAGAGAGGTTGTGTGCATAGTGTGTTGCCTTAGTTGACAGGTCGTTGTCTTAGGTTGTCGTAGACAGGAAGATCTTGTGTCCTGATGGGTCATGATTTCTTGATGCTATTGTAATATTCTAGACTCGCGATGGAATCAGGTTCTACTCAAACTTGAGTTGTAGATAGAATCTGTTTTATTTTTATTGGTTGTAATGAATTGCAAGTCATTGATTAAGATTGAATTTGTTATGATTCATGTTAGTACTATTATTAACTTGTGTGTTTTGATTTGTGTTTTGGTATAGGTATAAGCTGTGGAAAATAAACTAATCTACTTGTGGAAGACAAAGTGATTTGCCTACAGTTGTGTGAGCAACTTTGATAGTTTTCATAAAAAATTGATGAAGAAAGAATGATTGTTAAAGATTTTTTGATGTTTTTTTATTTTATCAATTGTTTATTTATTTTATATTTAACATTTTGAAATTTAACAGATATAGAGTTTTAATTTGATAGAAAAAAATTCATCATTTTTTTTGTATGATAATTTTACTTTTAATGTTAATTGAAGTTTGGATTCATGAATTTATAATAATTTTTTTTGATGTTTTTGTTAGTATTTTTTGGTTGTGTAGTTGTAATTACAAATAATATGTGATGATATTAAAAAAATATTTTCATGTAGAAGAATAGATCTCTGTTGAAGTTATTGTATAAATTGCTTGAAAGATAGTACACCTCAATTTACAAAAGAATCATCATAATTATTGAAACTAAAATACATATAGATAAGAACAAAGGTATGTATTCTTGTATATGGACCTTCATTCTTTTGAATCAAAATTATGTAATTTTATATAAGATTCATAATTCATGATGTTTATGATGTGTTCAATTTTTCAGTTACAATATTGTGAGTAGTCATTCTTCTACCTCTCTACACTTTTTTGAGCTCAATCAGCTAATTGCATTCTTATCATTCTTATCAGTTAGATTCAACACTGATTCTAATCTATCTATTCCTGATCTGTAATGATTAATGCTTTGTAATGTCTAATGTCTAACGCTTTGTTCCTGATTGATTTGCTTTTGAATTTATTCAAATCGAAAGTATCTGCTGGTTTTCAGAACTTTCAAGTCTTGTATCCCTACATGTATTGGACATCTACCTTTGTAGGCGTCCAAATAGATTTCAGTCACTCAAGTCTAGTGTGCAGGCTTGTGGAGGGCTATGACGCTGTTCGGCCTGTTTTCAGATTACTCTATTCTTGCTTAGAGGCTGGTGAAGGAGTCCAGTTGGTTTCCAGGTTATTTCAAAGGAGTTCAGTTGGTTTTCAGGTTAATACGAAGGTGTTCAGTTGATTTTCAGAGTAATATGAGGGTCTTCAGTTGGTTTAGAGAAAGCTCAAGTCTTGCACACTGAATTCTATGAAGGTGTTCAGTTTCTTTCCAAGATAATGTGAGGTTCCGAAACTAGTGGCATTCTGAAAGCGGTTCACGTTTCACGGGAATCTTTTCTGTAAGCTTGACATCATCGGTCAAAAGATCTATCCATTGTTGTCCAGCCGACCCATGAGCGAGGCTGCAGAATGAGTGAAGCAGGTGAAGGATTGCAGAAACAAATCTCATCGAGCAAGGAGATACTCATGAAGGCTTCAAAATAGGTGTGTCCGTACTGGCCCTCCATTATTGACTAGATTGATTGACTGATGGAGGCATTCACCGTAATTAGTGATGTTCACGGCGGCAGAATCCTTGCATTGTTTTGCAGTCTAATTTGAATTTTCATTTGCTTCATTAATATAATTGTGTGGACACAATGAACGTGGCCTTAGCTGTCTGCATTTGATACCCTCTGCGAGGTTTCCTGCTGGACTCCGGGGTTTGCACACCATTATGCGGTCGCCTTTGACGTTGTGAATGTTTAGATAATAGCACGGCTTGACAATAATATGTGGGGGTTTCTGGGTGATACTTGATTCCCAACAGACAATGTAATGAAATGAGCGAGACAGAACGTGCCGTGCCATCAGTTGATTGTTTTACTAACATCTTGTGGGATCTGTAAATATACTAATCGTCTCTAGAATGCAAATTTTCAAGCTCGTGAACCTTGATATTTTCTGGGACGATAGTATTGTAGCACGTGTGACGTCGACGGCAATGTGATGGCCTGGGCCCTGCAGCAAATTCAAAGCATGAAGGAATGTGCCTGGAAGCATGGGGATCTTGTGAGGGGGATTTATAAGGACCTCAGCTCGTTTCTTTGAATATGCTGAGTGTGTTGCCTGTGATTCGTTGCTGCGAGGTGATCAGTTTTGACTGAATGGGGGGACTTCTCCACAATGCACGACTAAGTCATTAATGTGATTTTTTGTATATTATTGAAGTATTTACAAGTGTAAATTTCTTTTAACAGTTTTCTGATTACTGAACAGTGCGTTTCCTGGCTTGTCTTAAGTGGATATGCGAAATTGTGACGGCATACTCAACGAATCAATCTGAAACAGTAATTGAACAGGCGGAGATTTGTTAACCTTCGAAGAGCTCTGAATTATCAGTTGATATTGCGAAGTTTCCAAGTATTCTCCTGATGGACGAGATGATGAGGATACGGCATACAATCGTAAGGGATTACTATTTTTATGGACTTGCAAGTAAGTTTCTCCAATCAAAATGCCTCCTAAAATAATTCATTTAGTCAATTCTTTCTGAATATGTCATTTAATTTTGGAACTCCAAAATTGAGATCCCCGTCGAGACCATTTTGTCGAGTGTCTTAGTTATAGTCTAGAGGGTATCTCAAACCATTGTCCAATCGACCATAGGTTGGCGACAATGCAGTGCCCTTCAGAGCCTACTTTTAAATGAGGTACAGGAGCAGCACCTAATACTGACCAAATCCCACGAAAATCTGTGTTATCAACATCCATATAGGCCCTGGCCTATTGGACAATGGCTGCTGAAACATGTAAATCCATTGTGAATATTGGAATTGCTGCAGTGTTCCTTGTTTCAGAGATCTCTGAAACAATGGTCCAGATTTAGACCAAGAAATTAATCAGGATATGATATAGATCAACAGTTGGAAAGATAAGCTCTCAGCTAATTTTCTGTCGTGATTCTATTCATTTGATTTGTTTCATATGTGGTTCATTGATTTTCCTGTAGGAGATGCACTTTTACAGAAACAACACTATCTACAGTAGATGTCACAAGTTTGGCTGCATTAGACACTCTGGTTTGTATCAAACAATATGTTCAGTTTGAATGTAAGTACTGCATGAGCATTATCAATAATATAGAATTCTGTCTCTAACTACATGTTTGAGTTGCATAGCCAGCTACATGACCAAAAACCCAGTTACCCATGTTTTGTGTCAATCTATGTGGGACATTATGTTCATTTGTGTTTACAGTGTGTAGGTCAATGTTAACTATCCACTGATTGCATGGAGTTAGAGATGATGAGTACTTGTGTTTACTTTATTACTCAACAATTCTGGATTGTGTTATATGTCATGTGTTCACACATGGATACTATTAAATCATATTTTAAAAAATATATATTGTTCTATAATATGCATCAATAGAATTTTTTATTCAATCTTAATACCAAGATATTTCATCTTGTTAGAATGTATTTTTTTTAAAAGTGATCAAAATAACCATGTGGTTTATTTACTTTATTTATTTATTTATTTTTATAATTCATGTCTATAACAGTTGAACAGGAATACTAACTTTTTATACTTGTTTTGTTTAACAAGACTATTAACTTTTTATAGCTATTTTTGTTTAAGAAGTGAGTGGGTTAATCTACTTTTTTTAGATATTTTGTAATTTAAAGGTAATAAATTATTAATCTTTTAAAATTTAAATTAAACTAATTATTATTATTGTTGAACATTGATTTGACTTTTATTTGTTAAAATGTTCTTTTCATGTTAGAGATTGTGAATTGCTCTCTTTTTAATTCAACTTATGAATTTTTTTTAGAAAATTAACTAATTCATAAATGGAAAAGAAATTGATTAATAGATTTGGTAATTTTGTTTATTTTTTGCCACATTTCTATCAAGCAATTGAAAAAAAGAAATAATAAAAAAACTCTACTGTTTGCAATAAGAGGTAAGTATATTTATTATTTATGTTATCAAATTCTAATAACTTGTTTACAATCTGTATTAGAATAACAAGGCTTTTATCAATCAATTTCAATATAATTTTAAAAAAAAATACCAAAGATCTATTATGAACAAGACAAAAAAAATATTTATTGAAATAATATATCATTTAAGGGATTATATGTAATATTTAATTCTTTGAAGGACTTTAAGATAAAAATAAGAAATAATAAATTAAGTAACAAGTCTACATCTTTATAAAATATTATAACTTAATTCAAGTTGTTAACATTAGACAAAAAAAAACAAAAAAAAATTTGAGAATTTATATTTATAATGTAAATAAGCTACTCATAAGATACAAGAATGTTACATCAAACCAATGGGATTAAAATTGAGGATCATTTAAATAAAAAAAATTAAAAAAAGAACATATATCAAATTGTAATAAAAACTTTACATATACATAACATTAGACTACAACCATTAAATATAAGTCTCATACTACTATCAAATCTTATATCTTATTATAAACTTCATATATTTGTCATGACTTTATATTATAAAATTTCAATTCAGGTATTTTTAGATATATAAATCTCTCTATATATATTTTATAGATATTTTCTTTTTTCTTTTCTTTGCAACAAAAATTCATACTTTCTCACAAGAAGATTTGACCATTTCAAATAAAAGTTATTCACAAATAATCATTTGTATTAAAAAAATATTACTAAAAAAAACCAAACCTTTAAAAGTAGTACTAAGAGATTAAATATCTAATGTTATTTTCAAAATTATTCAATGTCATTTAGATCTAATTTATTTGAACTTCTTTAATTTTAATTATATAATTTTAATATTAATTAGAAATTATAAAATTTTATTTCAAGATTTAGTTTAAATATTGAGAAACCATAATAGACATCATAAGATAAAAGATAAAAGATAGTTTTTACAAAAAATTACTTTAAAGAATTTAGATTGATATTTGAAGAAGTTCTTTTGTAAATTAGGGTTGGATTCAAACTCCAAGGTACAAAAACGAGCAACTACAATAGATGCATATTCTTTGTATTAATTGAAAATTTAAAATAAAAAATAAATAAAATAATTTTTTTATGTATATTAGTTATAACAAAAGTTGAATTTATATACACTTTTTGAGAATTTTATAATATAAGAATTTGATTTTGATGACTTTGTTTTTAAAGAACAAAGTAGGATTTATATTTTTAGTATTTTTTATTATTTTTTAATAAATCTATTAATAAATTTTTTTAGGTTGTATAATTTATTATATTGAGTTTATAAAGTTAATTTGAGCTTTATTCGTTGGCTAAATTTAAAATTACAAAAATTCAAGTGGATTAAGGTATCAAGAGTTAGTAATATGATGGTAAATAAAGATTTCAAAAATTTGCAGTAAATTTTTAGTTAGATTGAAGTAAAGTTTTGTAGACTATTGGTTGACATAAATATTTTAAAAAAAGAGAGAAATTTAAAAATAAAAAATGAGATATTTATGTGAAGAAATTAATATTAAATTTAAAAAGGAGGTTGCCTAATATCCAAGTAATTTTTTTGTCTTTTTTCTCAACTTGCAAGTATAATTCTTCATAAGTTTTTAAAGTTTATTTTTTATAAGAAGCTTAAAAGGTGTAAAAATTCAAAATAAAATAAAAAAAATTAAGAGAAAAAATTATATGATTTGTAACATATTATTAAATCTTCTTAGGATTGGTTAATATTTGGCAAGAATTTGATTTATATTTGGTTAGAATGTTTTATAATTAATTAAAATTTAAATAAGATTTGGTGAAAATTTCTTTAAAATTTGATTTGAATTTTATAGAATTTTTTAAGAATTTTTTTAGGATTCAATTAGGATTTTTTTAAAAATATAATTACTTAAAAATATATTTTAAAATTTTCGAATTTAAAAAATTATAAAAAAAATATAAAAAGTCATTTAAAATTTTTAAGTTGTTGATATCAAATTAAGACTATTTTATCTTACTTTGGAGATTTTTTGTAGTAAAAAAAATAAATTTAAATTAAATAACATCTTAATTTTTATATAAATAATTAAAAAATCATAAATTTTCTTTCTCATACTTCTTCTACTTAATTTATATTATTTATAAATTATTAATAAATAACACAAATAATTAAAAAAACAATTCAAAATATTGATCTTAAAAATAAAATATTAATTATGAAAATTTGAAGAAAATACTAAATTAGTAAGGATAATTTTTTTTACGACTTATCAAGATTCTATTTTTAAGATTTGATTAATCTAAAAGTACTCTTATGACTTATAATACCTTCAAAATTCTAATTAATACATGGATAATTAAATAAATCTTTATATTTAATAATTATATATTTAAAAAATATTAAAATATTATTTTTAATACTTCTACTAATTAAAGTGCATGAATAAAATTCACAAGTAGATATTATATTTATCAAAATATAAAATATATTGTTTGAAGATAATTATATAAGTTTCAATAATAATCAGATGGTTAGGTAATCTTCTTGTCTTCACATAATATATTTTGATGATTGAAATGAATTATCAACTTCTATTGTAGAAAAAAAAATTGTAATTTATTGTTAGTACTATTTGGTGGATTTTAGATTTTATTAACTTATAAAATATCTAAATTATTATTTATAGAACTTATCTCTAAAAAAAACTATTGCAACAGACATATGTATTACCTAAACAAATAAAAGTAAAATAATTAGAAACAAATAAGACTATATAGACACATGTTGGTCACTTATTTTGGCAAGTTGGTCATATGTTGAATTGGCAAATTAACCACATAGTGGCTTAACAAGTTGACCATACATTGGCTACTTGTTTTAGTAGCCACATGGCTTTTATAATAGCTAATTTATATGGAGATAAGGATGAGACCATTCTTGCTCTTGTCAACTTTTTCTTTTTGTATATTCTAGTCTTGATTCAAGACTCCATAGTCTCTTACATTTGGCAATAGATATTTTAGCTCATTTTTATCTAATATTTATCTTTTATTATTACTATGATGATCATTTAATTCAATGAGAAATGATTATATTATCTTTTGGATTTTTCCATGATTCATGCTTTTAATATAAAACACAAATAGAATTACACATAGCAATTTAGTTGTACATACACCAAATAAATATAATTTATTTATTATTGTATAAAGAGCACCTTCTTCATGTCAAATAATAAACAAGTAATATATTATAAGACATAAAATATTATAAGAATAAAGAGATTTTTGAAAGTCATTCTATTCACAAGATTCAATATAAATTATAAAATTAAAAATATTATTATAAATACCAAATCTAAACTATGTAAAAATATAAAGATATGAACTTGCATACTCAATAAAAGTTACAATAAAAGTTATCCATCTAATTTGTTTCAATTCAAGGCTAATACTAAAAGCTACCTTCACACACACACACACATATATATATATATATATATATATATATGTATATACATTTAATTTTTTTCCTCAACGAGAAAGAAATATGTTTAAAATATTTTTAAAGATACTGAATTTTTGAACCAATTCTATGTTGGCTTCAATAATGACTATAAGCTGTTGGCTTTAATAAGAACTACATCAAATATTGTTTAATTTGAGAAAAAAATTGAATTTAAAGATAAGAGAAGTAAATAACACCTTTTTGTGGATGAGTTAAATCTTACAAAGTTGTTCATTAGTCCTTGTATAATAAAAGACCTAAAATGAATCCAAGTGCTTGTATCAATTAGAAAAAAGAATTACTTTTTGAAACAGGATCATAAGCTTGTGAGCAAATAAAAAGAATAGAGAATTAACTAAAGAGAACAAATAATGGGAACAAGCCACTTCAAACGTGAAGAAATCATCTCCTTGAAATGTAGTCTAACAAGATTAGCAAGAACACAAAATTACATGAACAGATGCATTGTGGCGCTAAAAGATTCTCTCAGCTTCGTTAAGTTTTTAAACTGGTAATGAAAATATAGAAAAGTAGGTTATGCTTTACTCGTTCGCACATGTTACATCGAAACTTTGTGCAGTTGCAGACAACGCCTTATGACAGTCAAATACAGCATGCCAGAGCATCATCCAGCTGGTGTGGACAGATAAAGACATTCGGGTCCCGACATCTCACTTGTCTTCAT